TTCACTGCCTGGTGCTGGAGGAGCAGGTGGATACGACCAGTACGCATTCCTTATAAACCCAAGGATTCTTCAGGAAGAGGTGAAGGCTGCCCAGCCGGTGTAGCTCAGTGGGTGAACAACAATCTACCAACCTGGAAATCACAGTTGGATTCCTGGTCAGGGCACAAGCCCGGGTTTGAGGTTTAATCCCCAGTGTGGGGCGTGCAGGAGGCAGCTGATTAATTATTCTCTCATCATTGATGAATCTCTCTCTCCCTTCCTCTCTGAAATAAAATACATATTTTAAAAAAGGAGGTGGGGGGCAGGAGGAGAGGTGAAGCTTCTCCCTAGGAAACGACTTCAGCTTTAGAAACTAAGTAGGATCTGAAAATAAATATTCAGGAACTTGACAGAGGGATGAAGGGTCTTCCCAGTCCTAAGAATAGTGACGGGTCACCTACAGGGTCAACCTGGCCCTGAGTCACAGGAGAGCCATCACCTGAGGACTCAGAGGCCCCAGGCTCGGCCTGAATGTATTCCGTCTTCCGCTGGTGTTGTTTATAGCTCTGTTTAAAAATATCTGGCAGCTCTCACCTGGTTGGCTGGGCTGCCAGTCTCCTGAATAAAGAGTGTGAAGCATGCTGGCACTCCGCAGCCACTTCACCTGCCAAAGATAATTTAACAGCATCATGAAACTTGATCCAGGTGCTCTCTTCTGCTTCACAGATGCTGCTGATGGATCCATACCATCTCCATTTAAAATGTAGGGTATGACTCAGGCAAGACTAGGTGAGAGTTTGCTAAGGAGTATAGTTACATAAACTCAAAATACCTCCCACCAAAGTACTATTTATGAACCACAAAAGGGAAAAAGAGTAATTGGACAGTGGAAAATCTGATCAACACCACCTTCACCAAATGGTCAACGTCCTTATTTTCAACAATGAAATCAACCCACAAGGCATGCCTCCAGATAAGATGTACTGAGGGAGACACATTATCCCTTCTGGGACATTGGGGCCAAAATGCATAATCTGAATCTAATAATGAGGAAACATGAGACAAGCCCAAACTAGGTAAAGTCGAAGTCACGAAAGACAAAGGCAGGCTGAGGGCGTGTTCTAAATCAAAGGGCCCTAGAAAGACATGAGAACTAAATGTAATCTGTGATCCTGGATAGAAATACAAATAGCTGTAAACAACGTTAATGGGATCGTTGGCAAAAATTTTAATATAAAGTAGAAAATAGTAGATCAATGTTAAATTTCATGAATTTGATGACTATATTAAAGTTACATTGGGAAAAGATTCTTGTTCTTGGATATACCCATGGAAATATTTAGAGATGGGGGGGTAGGGGAGGAGAAGTAAGAGGAGGAGGAGGAGGAGGAGGAGGAGGAGGACCAAATGTGGAAACTTAACAAATTGGGGCCTGTGTGAATCTCGTCAAATGGGGTGAAAATGAGGGTGGGGACCTGAACAGAGCTCCATCCCCTCTCTGGATTACTGGCATCCCAGAAAGGTCAGACCTCTCAAGTCAATCTCAAAGGAAACAAATTGAATTCTTTGAGGAGGCGGGGTATACATACATCTAGAACTAAAATAATTCCAACTATCTTTTTCCCTACCCTTTGCTTCCATGGCTAATGCTTGCTGAGCTCTCCAAGATGATAAATTCACTCTTTCTTAGAAATGACACTATCTCACCTGGCTTGTGTGGCTCAATGGTTGAGTGTCGACCTATGAACCAGGAGGTTACGGTTTGATTCCTGGTCAGGGCACATGCCCAGTTGTGAGATTGGTCCCCACTGTGGGGCGTGCAGGAGGCAGCCAATCAATGATTCTCTCTCATCATTGATGTTTCTATCTCCCCCCTCTGAAATCAATATAAAAAAAAATTTTTTTTTTTAAATGCCACTTGCTTAAAATCTAGGCACAGGTAAAAGTTTATAAACAATGCTGAATTTTGCCCCTTTCTGCACTAACAGAGAAAGATTAAACTTATTGCTCTTCACATTGTTCACTTTCCTTTTGCTGGTGACAAACATTTATCTACCAATATCCACTTATTGTATTAAGATCACTTTTGCTGTAATCCTATAATTATGGCAATAATTTCTTCCATTTATAAACAAACTAGGATCCACAGATATTACGATGCATTTTAATACATAATGAGGCCTGTTTTACAATTTATAGCTCATGAATCTCTACTTAATTACTGCTTAGCCTTCTGGTGACATTAAACTACATCTCAATAGAAACAAATTGAATTATTTGAGGAGGCAAGGTATATATGAATTATGATGAAGGCAATAACTATTTATACAAAGATGCTTTGGTAATTTATTTAAAAAGCACTTATTGAAAACCTTCAACCTGTCAGTTATCTGGAAATCGAATGTATTAGACATGGCAGCCAATCATAGATCACTCTTTTCTTACATACGCGCACGCGCGCACACGCGCGCGCGCGCACACACACACACACACCATAATGGCGACAAGTTAATTTAACAGTATCATGAAACTTGATCCATTTTTCATCGCCTCTTGTCATATTTTAGCACCAAGATCACAGCGATCCAGGTGAATGCCCAACAGCCCCCCGCGCCATGAACTAGCGAACACGTACAAATCCCAGCCTCGGGCCATCCATGTTCAAGGTACCATAAGACATCTGCTCCCCAGCTCTCGGTTTGTAAATATTATGTCCTGCATCAGGACTCCTTGGAGAAATGGCTGATTCCAGGGCTAGGGCTGGAAAGTACCAGCTAAGCATGGACATCATATTGTGCTAGAAAGCCCAAAAGCACTTTTTAAAAATAGAAACTGTTGTCCAGACAGTGTGGTTCAGTGGTTGAGCATCAACCTATGAACCAGGTCACCAGCCTGGTCAAGACATATGACTGGGTTTCGGGTTCAATCCCCAGTAGGGTGCGTACAGGAGGCAGCCAATCAATGATTCTTATAGATGTTTCTCTCTCTCTCTCCCTCCCTCTTCCTTACTCTGAAATCAATTTTAAAAACTTTTTAAATAAAAAATAGCAACCGTTCATAAAAAGATTTATGGAGACAGAAAGTAGATTAGTGGTTGGTTGGGCAAGAAGGACCTTACTAGATGAAAATGTTACACTGATTTGTGGTCATATTTAATGTTACTTAAAAAAAAAAAATCACTGAATTGTATTCCTGAAACGGGTGTATCCTATATGTGTAAAATATACCTCAGTATATGTAAAGCAACTTTTAAACAGTATCATTTTGGGTTTTTTTTTTAATATATTTTATTGATTTTTTTACAGAGAGGGAAAGGGATATTTCAAAACATCAATGAGACAGAAACATCCATAAACTGCCTCCTGCACACCCCCTACTGAGGATGTCCTGCAACCAAGGTGTATGCCCTTGACCGGAATTGAACCTGGGACTCTTCAGTCCGCAGGCCATCGCTCTATCTAGAGCCAAACCGGTTAGGGCTCATTTTGAATCAGGGGACTGTTCTAGAAAAGATGTAACAACCAAATCCATGGAAAACCTTCATTGGAGCTTGGATTGGGGGGGGGGGGGGGCAGGGGGGGAAATCAGCTTTAGAAAAGGTATGGAGGAAATCAGGAGAGATTTTTTAATGGACTGTAAATCAGATGGTACCCCCACATTGTGGTACATTTTCTTGGGTGTGAGAATGCTACTTTGATTATGTGGGAGGATTGCCTTAAATTCTCAGGAGATACAGCTGAAGAAGTCGGGGAGGGGGGGGGGGGGGGCGTATCTGATGCCTGCAACCTACTCTGACATGAGTTAGGAAACTATACATACATACGTATGACGGTAGAAAATGCAAATGTGAAAATAATGTTAACGGTTGTTTAATCTATGGGGAAGGTATACAGGTGTTCATTGCACCATCCTTTCAACTTTTCTACAGTTTAACAATTTCAAAATAAAATGGTCGGGTAAGATATTTGCTCTAGGGTGGACTGTGAAGAATCTCCGTGTAACGAGTAAGTGGGGTTGTGCCAGCAAAACGACTCCATGTTACACTGTTTTCTCCATCCCTCACTTATTACCCCGCCAGATTGGATTTCTCTCAGCATCTGAGATGAGCCACGTGACTGCCTACCTCAGGACCTTTGCTTTTCCCTCAGGATTCTCGCACAACACCCCACACATTTCCTTCGCATTGGAATCACTTGTTAAATCACCTCTCCCGCCGTCTTCCCCAAATAACTGTAAGATTCAAGAGGGTGAAGTCGTCCACCATCATTTCCCTGGCTTTCCGACAGTGCCTGGCACACAGTCGACACCCAATATTTTTAAGAGAATGAATGAGTGGGTTTGTTTAATGGACCCACCAATGTGGCATCAACTGTCATGAATGTCCCTAGTGTTAGGGAAGCACCACTTTATCTTAGAACTGCTCTGTCGCTAAGGAGCAGGTAGCCCTTTACGTTCAGGTCTGCTGATGCTTCCTGGAGGTCTCTGCCAGCCTGCTTCTCAGTCTCACCGCGATGGACATTGGTTTGGGGGAAGGCACGAAATCAAACTGGTTCTTTCCCACGAGCTGTGGCATAGCTATGTGAGATCCTCAATGATCCGAGCCGAGCACAAGGCAACTTCAACTGCAATTACTGCACCATCTGGCACTATTCTAAACAATCTGCATTGTGTGTCCAAAGTCTGCTGTTGCATATTTATTACAATTCTCTACTCTCCTCCATTTCTCTCAGGTTGCTTCTCTCTTAATGGCCTGACACGGGGATGTGCTCTCTCCCAAACTTCTCTCACCCTCCGGTGTCCAACCAGCACCCCTACAATACAGAGACAGATATGGTCACTGCTATTCAAGCCAGAAAGGGGCCAAGGCAAAGATCAAGTATTATATTTCCATCCCCAAAAGAGAAGAGAACATATTACATAAACACAATCTTTTAACGTATAGACAGACTACAACGCAATGTGTGCTGAAACCGCTGAAACACATGTAAGGTGAGGGGGGGGAAAAAAAATACAAATGAAACTCAAATGAGAGTTTTGCTGGGCGTGAGAGCCGCGGGCGTTGCAAGATGAAGCTCGCGAGAAGAGAGATGGACTGGGGAGGGCTTGACAATGGGAGCGAGGGCCTGGAAGACCTGCACTATTTGGACAGGGGGCGGAGGCATCCCGGATGTGGGCAGCAGCATGAGCAAAGGCCCCGAGGCAGGAAGGAGCACGGCCTGCGGATAGGTCGGTGAGGGCGTGGCCACAGCGGGAGGACCCGGCGACAAGGCTGAAGAGGCGCCCTGGGGACTGGCCGGGCCCGGCTTTCTCTCCACGGGGTGCAGTTTCCGATGCTGCACAAAACTGCCGTACCACCTGAAGGCTTTCCCGCACACCCTGCACTCATACGGCCTCTCCCCCGTGTGAACTCTCTGGTGCTGAACCGAGGCTATCTTCTGCGTGAACGCCTTGCCACACTCCTGGCACCGGTAGGGCTTCTCCCCGGTGTGAATCCTCTGGTGGACGGTGAAAACGGACCGGCAGCCGAAGGCCTTCCAGCATTCCTTGCACTCGTAGAGTTTCTCCCCCGTGTGCAGCCGCTGGTGCTGGAGGCACGCTGCGTTCCTGCGGAAGGCCTTGCCGCACTCCTTGCATTTGTAGGGCTTCTCCCCCGTGTGGATCCTCTGATGCTGAGCCAAGGCGGTGCTGGAGCTCAGGCCTTTGCCGCACTCCTTGCATTCGTAGGGCCCTTCCCCGACGTGGTTCTTCTCGTGTATGATGCAGTCGTAGCTGGACTTGAAGGCTTTGCTACATTCCTTACATTTGAAGGGCTTCTCCCCGGTGTGGCTCATCTGATGCCGAAGGAGCCTGGAGTTGTACCTGAAGATTTTCCCACATTCTTTGCACTCATAGAACTTCATTCCCCCGCGAAGAATCAGGCTCGGATTCAGGCTGAAACCTGGCCACGTGGCCTTGCTTTTAAAATCAAGGTGCTGAGACACATTTCGGAGTCCACCTCCCGGCACTCTGAGTTGCTCTGTTTCTCCGGAGGCTTCCTGCTTCACAGCAGGCTCTTCCTCCCTGATCCAGAACTCGTCACCTGACCAAAGCAACCATGAGCACTCCAAATTACTGCGCTGGACAGAGAGCAGAACCCATGGGGTCCTAATTCTCTCTTGTAGGATGCGATTTTTAAAATACATACCCATGAAATGGCTCTACGCATCCATAAAGGAGGACAAGAGAGCAAAAGGAGAGTACTGTCGTAACATACAATTGGAGAAGTAATGACATGGGAAACGGGAAGTGCCTCCTGTAAGGAAGGCTGGATTTGGGGGCACAAAGGCAGGTAAAATGGGCAGAATAAGAACTCAAGAATAGGAGAGCGCCCTAGCCAGTTTGGCTCAGTGGATAGAGCATCGGCCCGAGTGCCAAAGGATTCCTGGTTTGATTCTGGTCAAGGGCACATGCCTGGGATGCGGGCTCCTCCCTGGCCTGGGCCCTGGTCGGGACTCGTGTAGGAGGCAGCCAACCAATGTGTTTCTCTCACATCAACATTTCTCTCTGTCTTTCCCTCTTATTTCCACTCTCTAAAAATCAACGGGCCTTTGCTGGTTTGGCTCAGTGGCTAGAGCGTCAGCCTGTGGGCTAAAGGATCCCAAGTTCAATTCCAGTCAAGGGCACATGCCAGAGTTGCGGGCTTGATCCCCATTAGAGGGCATGCAAGAGGCAACCAGTCAATGATTCTCTCTCATCATTGATGTTTCTATCTGTCTCTCTTCTCTCCGTTCCTCTCTGAAATCAATAAAAGTGTGTTTTTTTAAAAATCAGTGGAAAAAGAGCCTTGGGTGGGGATTAAAAAAAGATGAGGGAACACAAGTGAGCAAACAACAGATCATAATGCGCCCCCTGCCGGCCAGGAAACCACCCGAATTCCAAATTCTAAATAATGGCCTCAAAGTTCCATTTTCGAAGGTTTCCATGTAATATCCTGAGATTAAGAGAGTCCTCCAAAAAATCAGCTGAAGCAGAAGTTGGAGAGCTGTAGGCCACAGTGGCATCGTTGCTAAACAAGCCATTAATTACAAAATCACAGTCCACGTGAGAAGTGGAGTCTGAAACTGTCTCTCAAAAGCTCCCAAGACTGGGAAGCAGTCCCTGGGAAATGAGAGGCTGTGCTCTGTATGTGCTGGGTGCCGGGGCAGGAGAATGCTCCTTGCCTTCTCCTATCCAACCCCATATAGGACGTTACAATGTAAACCCAAATCCTATGGCATAGGAATCTTTAAAGTGCACCCCAAAAAAAAGGCAAATTAAAATAAAATTCATAGCTGTGGCACAAAGAAATCAGTTTGACCCACAGAATCAAATTTTCCTTAAAGTATAGCAGAAACCCTACTCCTCTGTCATGAAAACTGGCATGAAATTAAATATTTCCACTGGTGAGAAAGAAAGTGGCTCAGGCTCCCAGGCAACAGTTTTCCGCAGGAGCACAGTCACACGTGTGTGCAGACAGTGTGTGGCCAAGCGCTCCAGGGACTGGCCTCTCTGGGCTCAGGGCCGGGACTCAGTGGCGGTCAGAGTGCACCGACTGCTGCCTTTACAGACAACAGGGAGCTTTGTTTTCTGCTGCGGGAGGAACATTTCCAGTAAACCTGGAAGGCCAAGCCAGAAGCTGCTGTATTCTCTTACTCACCTGGACAGATGCCTCTCCAATCCTCTGCCTCCCAAGGATCGGGGCCCCAGGGTGCGCTCCCGCTCTCCAGCTGGGAGATGAGATCCGGCTTCGGGGCTGGAAATGCTATCTCAGGAAGAAAACAGACAGACTAGTTGAAGGAGACGTCCAGGCCTCTTCCTGAGCTCTCTCTTGGCCCAGTTCCTAACGGGCTAGTTGGGAGGGGAGAGAAATGGACCCCCTAGGGCAGTGGTCGGCAAACTCATGAGTCAACAGAGCCAAATATCAACAGGACAACAATTGAAATTTCTTTGGAGAGCCAAAGTCTTTCGACTTAAACTTCTTCTAACGCCACTTCTTCAAAACGGACTCGCCCAGGCCGTGGTGTTTTGTGGAAAAGCCGCACTCAAGGAAGGGGCCAAAGAACCGCATGTGGCCTGCGAGTCGCAGTTTGCCGACCACTGGCCTAGGAGACCAAGTGGTTCTGAGGATGGACTCTAAAGCAGTCCAGGGGAATGACAAGAAGAGAGCCATTCTCCAAGGAAACTTCAACCTTGCCCTGACTTCTTAAAGAGGAAAACCCCTCAGGAAGGATATATGCCCTTAGAGCCTGGGAGACTCCTTCTCAGAAGGAAGCACCCACAACCCCAGGACGATGGGAGAATGGAGGAACAGGGCACCGAGGGCACCAGGAAGTCCTTCCACTCGGTGCCCAGAACCTCACTCTTCCCTGAGATGGAAGAAAGTCTCGTTTCAAAACCAAAAGGCTCCGGGGACCTCCCCACCCAGCATCTCCGGAGGCTGGGACTGTCTAGGATCTCCCCATCCAACCCAGGGCTCCTAGGATCTCCCCAAATACCTGAGGAAGAAGTCCCACTGTCACCGAGAGCCGCTGAGAGACCTACCCAGGGCGGCCACGTTGGCGTAGTTGTCCAGCATCACCTCCCTGTACAGGGCCCTCTGCGCGGGGGCCAGGCTGGCCCATTCCTCCGCAGTGAAGTACACGGCCACGTCCTCAAAGGTCACGGACTCCTGAAACAACAGGTTCCAGCTCAAGCTCTGAGTGAAGGGCAGGAGGAGGCAGCCTCAACTGCAGGGTCCCCCCAACTCTGAGCCCGGTGGAAGGTCTGCTCCATCAAGAAGATGGCTTTCAGCCAGTGGTTCCACTCCAAACATGGAACCCCAACACGCTCGCTCCCATCCGCTCAGCTCTGTTCTAAGTCATCCCAATCTCATAGCCTGGCATCTGGGGCTCTCTGCCTGCTGACTGCACCAACCCCTATGGATCTGTCCCTCTGGCATCTCCTATCTCAAGTACTCCATAATCTGGTCACCTTATTTCTATACACTGACCACTATACACACGCACAGCCTTAGCTGGTTTTGCTCAGTGATATAGCGCATCAGCCTGCGGACTGAAGGGTCCCGGCTTTGATGCCTGTCAAGGACATATGCTCGGGTTGTGGGCTAGATCCCCCAAAGGGAGCGTGCAGGAGGCATCCGTTCAGTGGTTCTCTCTCATTATTGATGTTTCTATCTCTCTCTTTCTCTCCCTCTCCCTTTCCCTTCCTCTCTGAAATCAATAAAAATAGATATTTTTAAAGATTAACATTAAAAATAATAATAAAGTATGCACACACAGCTAGTTCCCTCTACAGAGGAGCCAATCCTCAAAAAATTTTCCAACCCTAGCTGGTTTGGCTCAGTGGATAGATAGAGCATCCGCCTGTGTCCCAGGTTCGATTTTGGTCAAGGACACATGCTCGGGGTTGCAAGCTCAATCCCCAGTAGGGAGGTGTGTAGGAGGCAGCCGATCAATGATTCCCTCTCATCATTGATGTTTCTATCTATTTCTCTCCCTCTCCCTTCCTCTCTGAAATCAATAAAAATATATTTTAAAAAAAGTTTTTCCAGCATTTTTGCAAATTTCTTTTCATACCTTATTATCAAAAAGCTAGCTCTGTTGAAGAAAACCTACAGTCTGCCAGTTCCAGTCTCTTCTCTGAACCACCTGCATTCAAACAAGGCCGGCAGTACCCTGTCTCTGGGCACAGATCCATTGATGTTTTTCTCTCTCTCTCCCTTCCTCTCTTAAATCAATAAAAATATTTTTTTAAAAAGACACACAGCCCTAACTGGTTTGGCTCAGTGGATAGAGCATTGGTCTGCAGACTAAAGGGTCCCGGGTTCGATTTCGGTCAAGGGCATGTACCTTGGTTGCGGGCACATCCCCAGTAGGGGGTGTGCAAGAGGCAGCTGATAGATGCTTCTCTCTCATCGGATGTTTCTAACTCTCTATCCCTCTCTTCCTCTCTGTAAAAAATCAATAAAATATATTTTTAAAAAATAAATTAAATAAAAATCACCTGAATGGCGTTTACAACAGATCCCTGGCCCCGCTATCCTCCTCCCCAGTTTTACTGAATCTAGGATGGGGCCCAAGACTGCAACTCTAACGAGCTCCCAGGTGATGCCCACACTGCCAGTGGACCACGCTCTTGAGAAGCATTGTGCTTTTGCAACATGGAATTATGGGTATTAACTTGTGTATCTGTTTGCAGACTGTCTGTTTGGCTAATGAGAAAAGGGAACTTGGGCGCATTATTCAACACTATGCATCCAGCATTTAGAAAGGGCATACAGGGAGAACAATGCTGCTCTCTCTGGGAAACGTTTCCAATTTGTGGGGAAGAATTTCTTCGAGCTCAGCAGGCGCCTTTTCTCTGTAGAACATCATCTAGATTTCCACAGTGAAGGAGGATTTCTAGGCTTCTTACACGTAAACCTACACATCCAAATTCATCCCTCTCCACACACAAACCTCTCCTTTCCTCCGCCTGCTAGGTGCGGCCATCGCCCCGGGGACAGGCGCAAAGAGAAAACCAGAGCCTGGCCCCGATAGGCCTTCTCGGTCCTTTCTGAACTGAGAGCTAAGGTGACTTTTTTTTTTTTTTTAATATATGTTTTATTGAGTTTTTACAGAAAGGAAGAGAGAGGGATAGAGAGTTAGAAACATCGATGAGAGAGAAACATCGATCAGCTGCCTCCTGCACACCCCCCACCGGGGATGTGCCCGCAACCAAGGTACATGCCCTTGACCGGAATCGAACCTGGGACCTTTCAGTCCACAGTCCGACGCTCTATCCACTGAGCCAAACCGGTTTCAGCAAAGGTGATTTAAAAAAAAAAAAAAAATTGTTGCCCTGACTGGTTTGGCTCAGTGGATAGAGCATTGCCCTGTGGACTGGGGATCAATTCCGTTCAGGGGCATATACCTTGGTTGCGGGCACATCCCCAGTAGGGGGCGTGCAGCTAGTCGATGTTTCTCTATCATGGACATTTCTAAATCAATGAAATATATTTTTAAAAATAAATAAATTTGTAGTGATTTCAGAGAGGAAGGAAGAGGGGAAGAGAGGCAGAAACATCAATGATGAGAGAGAATCATTGATCGGCTGCCTCCGGCTCGTCCCTCGCCAGGAATCCAGTCCACAACCGGGGGCAGGGCCCTCATCAGGAATCCAACCGTGATCTCCTGGAACCTGACCTCTTGGTTCCTAAGGCCCATGCCAGCCAGGCACTAATGTGCTTTTGAAAAGACTGAAAGGAAGCTCAGCTCACCTGAGGCCAAGTTGTTTGGAGCATGGCTGGTGTCCCCTGGCTTCGGGCACTGTCCTCTGGGTTTGGAAAAGCAAGAACCTTAGAAGCTAAGAGAAGAAGAGCCATGAGTGCCAGGCGCTCAGTTCTGCATCACCCGCAGCCGCCTGTGGCCCTCCCAGGCTCACTTCCAGCACCGGCAGGAGCTCCATGGGACGCCCTCTGGCTGCTGGCCCCACCTCCGCATGAGGTGCTCCACCAGGACCTCAGCGGGGTCCGGCACCTGCAAACTCAGCCCCCACTGAGGTCCCGCACCTGCAAGCTCAGCCCCCAGTCCGCTGAGCCACGGGCACCAGATGGCTGAGGTCCAAGATGAGCCGTGCCCCTACAATAACCTAAAAGTCTAAAAAAGCCTTGGCTGGTTTGGCTCAATGGATAGAGCGTCGGCCAGCGGACTGAAGGGTCCAAGGTTCGATTCCGGTCAAGGGCATGTACCTTGGTTGCAGGCACATCCCCAGTAGGAGGTGTGCAAGAGGCAGCTGATCGATGTTTCTCTCCCATCGATGTTTCTCTCTATCCCTCTCTTCCTCTCTGTAAAAAATCAATAAAATGTATATTTTTTAAAAAAACTAAAAAAGCTCCTACAGGGACCATGACATTGACCCCAAAGAGGTGCCTACGAAAAGAGGGACAGGGATGGTTGGCTGCGGGTAAAGAATAAAAGTGTTCTAGTGGGTAATGCCGGCCGAGACGCCAAACACAGAAACTCAGCAGCGGGCGCAGGAGAGTCTGTTGGGCCACGTTCTTTGGGGGGGAAAGCGGATGGCGCTGCGGTGGGCAGGGGCTCGGGGGGCCGCGCAGCCACCAAAGGGACCGAGCTCGGGGGCTGGGGCGGGGGCGCGAGCGCGGACGGGGCGCCAGGGAAAGTGAAGAGGCGGCGCCGGGCGGACCTGGCACAGGAGAACTCGCTGGGACGCACACGCTTCCTCCCCGAACCGCGAAAAGCTGGCGGCTAAAAGCCGATGCATGCGGAAGCGAGCGCATGCGCTCAGCGCCCCTCTAGGCCGCCGGAGGCCGCCCGTCTCGATGGTCCCCGCGCCCGCCCCCACGTGACCGGGCCGGCGGCGGAAGAGGCGGGGCTGGGGGCGGGTCCCTGCCTGCGCCGTCGCTGGTCGGAGTGGAGCCCCTGCCAGCTGGGACCCATGTTACAGACTTGGGAGTGGGGGAGGGGGAGATATAAATAAAGGGTGGATGGTATTTAAATTAGAAAAGCAGAGAAAGCTGAATCTTAACTGCTGACAGAAGGGAAAGCGAACCAAAAGATCAATTCACACCACAGGACCAAGGATGAGCTCAGGATATTTTGGTAAAATATTCTCTCCGTTTAAAAGCACCAGGGAGTAGGGAGGGCCTGCAAATTATTTAGGACAATGAGTGAGAAACATCTACACAAAGGCACAGCATTGGGAAGTCTCAGAAAAATGAGAACATGCAAAAGATCCTAAAGGCTTTGGAGAAGGAAAAACAACACATACGTGGAGGCTGGAGAGTCAAGATGGCAAGAGACTACATGGCAAAAGGGATTGTTTTTCAAAATGCTAAGGGAAAACTTCCATTTCTCATCTACAGGGATTCAACGATCTGATTATAACCCCCTTCCTGAACCTCGATAAGAAAATTACATAAACCAACAGTTTTCAAGAAATTGGTTATCGCCAAAACCGGTTTGGCTCAGTGGATAGAGCATCAGCCTTCGGACTGAAAGGTCCCAGGTTCGATTCCGGTCAAGGACATGGACCTTGGTGGCGGATACATCCCCAGAAGGGGGTGTGCAAGAGGCAGCTGATCAATGATTCTCATCGATGTTTCTAACTCTATCCCTCTCTCTTACTCTATGTAAAAAAAAAAAAAAAAAAAAAAAAAAAAAAAAAGAAAGAAAGAAAGAAAAAGAAATTGGTTATCAAGCAATGAAAGATAAATCCTGAGACCTGGGAAACAAAGAGGTAAGCCACATGATTCCCCCAGCTTACCACGCTGGAAGTTTCCAGGCTATAATGCAAAGTGGAAACTAAGACAGAGTCTGGCAGGTCATGTAGAATCTGAGGGGACCAAGAGAGCTAGAATTTATAGGACAGAAAAGCAGAGAGGAAAGAGCTGAACAGAGAAAGAATACAAGTCACCTGCAGACAGCTCCCCTAGGAAATTTAACAGAGTACTGATCAAGGCAGGGCTGTATGTAAACGACCCAAAGCCAGAGAAAGGATCCTTTGAAAGGGCTGAAGGGAACGATGTCTGGCATTCACAACAGAGAACATTAAAATACTTATAAATGTATATCATATGTTTAAAAGTTAAACAGGTACAAGAGATGTTTCTTGAAAAGATCCAAATCAGACTTCTAGATATGAAGATTCCAGTGTCTGAGATGAAAAATATACGTCATGGAATTAACGGCAAATCAGAAATTGCAGGGGTTAGGGTTGGGTTGGGGGTGAGGGTGGGAGGAGCAGTGCATGTAAGGCAGAGCAATACAAAATGAAACGGAAAAAAACACGGAACGCAAAAAGGGCAGCAACAATGACAGCTGCCCTCACTACTTCTTCTCAATACTGAACAGAAGGTTCCAGCCAGTGCAATTAGGCAAGAAAAATAAAGGCATCCAGACTTGAAAGGGAAAAAAATAAAACTCTTTATTTGCAGATGGCATGTCTATGTAGAAAATTCAATGGGATCTACAAAATAATTATTGGAATTGTGTTATTCAGTTATCCTGTGGATGGGGTGAAAGGGGTTTTCATTGTATGCAGTGCTGCAATTTCCACTTTTCAGTTAATTTCTACTTTTCAGCCTCAATGCCAAATCTATCCCAACCAATCCCTCCATACTCACTTCCCCCCTCGCCCCCCCCCCCCAAATACTAAACCTGATAAGCTCAGGGGAGGCCTGGGTGGCAGCCTCACAAACTCAGAGACCTAGAGTATCCACAAAGGGAGGGTTTTAAATGAATACTTTTTAACTAAAAGCAGTTTATGGCGTAGTCATACCTAAGGCATTTTTCCCTAACAAAGGACAATCCTCACCTTAATTAAGGATGTCTCTTGTCTTTTTGCATCTAAGATAACATACCAGAAAAACATACCTTTGCAATAACAAAATAATTACTCTTTTTCTGGACTTCTCAAAGTGCAGGCACCAGCGTGGAGACAACAAATCCCCTCATAGTTATTTTAAACATACACCTTAATTATCTTGTACCCACCTACGTAAAAGAAGTATGTGCCCATCATTTTACTTTTTATCCATTCCACACACACACATACCCTTTGCTTTCTGCTGCCTCACTAATCTATCACCAATGATTTCAAGTAGCCCACTTACGTCTTCTCTTTTGGCTGTAATGTATAAAATAAGATGCAAGCCCTAACCGGTTTGGCTCAGTGGATAGAGGGTTGGCCTGTGAACCTAAGGGTCTCAGGTTCGATTCAGGTCAAGGGCATGTACTTTGGTTGCAGGCACATCCCCAGTGGGGGGTGTGCAGGAGGCAGCTGATTGATTAGTGTTTCTCTCTCATCAATGTTTCTAGCTCTTCCTCTCTGTAAAAAAAAAAAAAAAAAAAAAAAAAAAAAAAAAACACACAAAAAAAACACACAATATTTTTTAAAAATAATAAGATGCAAAACTATCATTTTCCAGGGCATTTTCTCAATCTGTTGAGGTCCTGCTTCCTGTCAATCCTCATCAGTTTGGCTTGAATAAACTAACAGGTTTGAAGGCGTCTGACATTGGCACATCAAAAGGATGTGGCTCACCTGGTGGCCTAGGTGCAGAGAAGTGAGACTGGGGAGAAAATAAGGAGGCACAGGTAAAATGAATGCTGCTTCGCACCCTGCCAATGTGCTGTTCGCCTGGGCCCCATTCCTCCCGCCACCTCCTCAGCCCAAAGGCAAAGAGCTGAGAAAACCCCATCCCCGCAAACAAACCCGTCAGCCAACCCGGGACGCGAACCCCGATTTGAACTGAATTAACCCACGCAGCGCAGGCGCAGAAGAGTGGGAACGCGACGTGGGTTCTCTCTAGGGAAGCACGGCCGGGCTCAGCCGGAAGTGTGAACCGCTTCCTCTCTAGAACGCTGGGAAGCCGCTCGTCTCTATGGTCCACTATCCCAGCTGCCACCTGTTCCAATTCGCTGAAAGCGGCTGGCCCCAGGATTGGGCCTTGCAGGGCCATCTTCTGGGAATGTAGGCCGCCCAGCTCGAGCCAGAGAACTACAATCCGGGTTCTGACATTTGCCACTAGGGCTGCTCTGCCAGGCACCGAGGACCATTGTGTGCCAGAGCTGCCTGGGTTCTCTGGCTGCGGCAGCCTGCAGGCAGCAGGAGGCTTGGACGTGAGAAGAGCTGTTAAGTTTTAACCTTTATAATAAACTGTTAACAGTAAGTTCTGTTTTGACCGGTTCCAGTAAATTATCAAGCCTCAGGAGGCAGTCCAATATATAGCGGGTCCCTCAAAAGGCCTGGGACTTGTGATTGCATCTTAAGGGGGAACAGACAGTTAAACCTGTGGGTCTGATGTTAATCTTGGTCGTCAGGTGTCAGAATTGAACTGGTTGGTGTGGAGGATAAAACCCATACATTTACTATGAGAAATGCTATTAATAGTTCATATAAGGACCAAATAATACAGACAAGCAAGCAAAGTCTATCACTTATAAAACCTAACTGTAAGATACACTAGAGGGTGCAGTAAGGGAAAATCAGAAAATGAATCCAAGAGCAGTAAAACCAAGAAACCAGTAAAATAGTTTGCTTACTAAATGGCACTACCACCACTTAGTTGGTTTAGACCAGCGATTTTCAACCTTTTTCATCTCATGGCACACATAAATGAGTAACTAAATTATGTGGCACCCTCCCCCCCCACAAAAGGGTATAATTTTGATTCTCTAGACAACTCCCGAACCCTCACACAAGAACAGGAAACCCAAAACTGCCTGCATTTCCTTTATCCCAGAAGCTATTACACTATTATCACCTGACAAACAATACCAAGCCAAAATGATCTTAACCATTTCCCAGTCAGGTTCAGGCAATCAGCTTTTGGTTAGAAATTATAGGCAACCAGACATATATTACTAAACCCTCAAGCATCCAAAGCTGCTAGAATTTTGTTTATATGAGAAATATATTTGTACAAGAAAAAAAAAATCACCTGATGTTCTAATTATCACTTCCCATGAGAACATTAACTAGTTACCACTTAGTGTGATGGCTTCATACTATCTGAAACCAGGTAGAATGAGACAAAGGAACTGATTTCGAACAATAACATCAACCATCCTACTATCAATACACTTGGCAATCCCTGCCCAGCAGCAGACTCCCATCCAGTAAGCAGAAGCCAGCGTGCTAAAAAGAACCTTTATTATACATTTGTAGTAGCCCCTCGTGTTCTCATGCTTTCTTGCCAGATGCCTTGGGAGCAGCAGGTGCTTTTTGGCCTGGGGCTTTCGGACCCTTTTGAGCTTTTGGAGGTGCCGTCTTCTGGCCTGCGGGTTTCTGAGCGGGAACCTTCTGAGCTGGAGCCTTCTTGCCTGCAGCGGTCACCTTTTTTGCTGGAACTTTTGCAGCAGCTGCTGCAGCTGCAGCGGCACCTTTAGCAGCAGCAGGTGCTTTTTTGGGAGAAGCTTTCAGGAGAGCTGCCTTTTGAAGCTTCTTAACTTCAAGCTTGATTATTCGGTTCCTCTGAAAAATTTCAATGTACGTGTATTTACAACATAGGCATACAAAAACTATTGTCATATACGTATGTATGATGTATAAGAAAAAACCCTAATGTCTTAAGACCCTCATGTAATCAATCAACTTTGCTCTATTAAGCATGGGCAAACAGAATTACCCTATAAACAAATTTAGGGTTAAAACATAATCCTGTACTGATTTTAAAAACTTACCATTTTCTTTGCCTTCATTACTTTGTAGCGATCAAAATCTGTCATCTTGGCTTTCTGTAAAAAACAAAACACAAAACTTATACCACCTTCCAACCCTCCAAAAAAGGTCAGAATTCACATGCCTGGAAGTTATTACCTTTTCTCTGGCTTCGATCTTCTTGGCCCATCTTGTGGCTGCCCACTTTGTATTGATATCGGCCTTCTCCCAGGCTTGTCGGACATACTTCTGGCGGGCACTAGAGAGAGCCAAGACTAGAGATGAAGAAATCAGCTTTGAAGCAACACAAACCCAAGGGCAGCTTTGGCCCTCTGAAAAGCAAAACTGATACCCCCTCAGGTTAAAAAGCATAAGCAAAATAATCTCAAAAGTGCCCTTCCATTTGTTGTACTTCTGGCTCTCGTCTCTAGAGAACAAATGTCACCTGGCACACCACATCTTTGGATGTCTTAGATCTCAAACACACAATAAATCCAGCATACTTTAAAGTAAACCTGTAGTTACAGTAGGTGTCCCATTACACCTGACAGTGTAGTTGAGATAACTGTACAGCAACATAGTAGTTATTGTCCATACTCTACACAAGCATGTCAAGAAAGAATGATTTTCTCAATTCCTTTTAAGTAGCTAGGAATAGAACTACTTCAGCAGCTGTCACAAGATGATGCATGTTACATTTTTTAAAAATCCTCACCCGAGGATATTTTCCCCATTGATCTTTTTAAAGAGAGACTGGAGGGGAGGGGTGGGGGTGGAAGTAGAGAAACGTTGACATGGTAGCCTCCCATACTTGCCCCTACTGGAGCCAGAAATCAAGCATGCAACTCAGGTAGGTCCATACACTTGACTGGGAATTGAACCCGAGACCTTTTTGTCAGCAGGCAGACACTCTTTACCACTGAGCAAAAGTAGCTAGGGCTGTTAAATACTTCTGATAGCTTTAAAAAAAAAAAAAAAAAAAAAAAAAATCATGTCTGCAATTTTCTACATTTTTGTTTTGGAGCTAAAAGTGATTAAAATATGAACAGGAAACCAGAATTCAAAAAAAAAGTCTTCGTTGTGTAAATCCTGAGAGAGGTACAAACAAAAGCTGGCTAATCTGCATACAGGCAGAGGCAGAGAACTACCAGATCACAGCACATTTAAAGGGAAACAATGGCGACTGGAAATTTGAATTGCCCCCATTTTCCAACACTGTTCACTATATTCTCGCGGGAAAACTATTCAAACAACAAAAACTTAAAAAAAAAAAAAATTAAACCAAGAAAATGTTCTCTAGCACAGTGGTCACCAACCGATGGTCCCCGGACGAGGTCCAAAAGGGATGGCCACTGCCGCTCTAGCACAAACAAAGCGGGGAGGTGGATTTTACCTGTGTGGGAACTTTAGGATGAAGTCAGTGAGCTGCATACATTTGAAAGGCATAGCCTGTCTCCTTACTTGAGTGCAAGGTCCATCAACCAAAGCCTAGAATACATAAGATCAAGCCTCAATGCAAAACCTAACATTCAACAGGATAGTCTGTACATGTCCCAATCCCTACTGTTTAAATGCCTTTTTAAGCGATTTAATTATCAGCAGCAGTACAGCCTGTTAACTAACTACATATAACTTACTAGACAATTTTAAGTCTTCAATCCTTACCTTCCCAACAAACAATTTAATGTTCAATCACAGCCTCTGGTCCATCCCTTAAGTTTGTGGTTTTCCATACTGACAACAGCAAGCGAGGCCTGGTTTGTTCCAAACTGGCTTTATATACAGTAACTCATTTAAACCTCAACAATGTTTTGCCCATAAATTAGTTCTGGCTAGTTTAAGCGGCAGAGGTTACATAATACTCAAACCCAGTAGCACTGGCCAACTCAAATCTGTGCTTGAAAACCCCTCAACACCCAAACTAAAATAAAGCCATCACCCACCCACAGAACCCCCTATCTCCACCGCCACGTCAAGTGGGGACCCTTTCCTTGCACTTACCCTGTTCTGATCGATGACATCTACGATCGCGACCAGCTTCCCCGCATGAGGCCCAAAGGAGACGTAGGCCACCCGGCCAACCTCCACGAAGCGCCTGAACACCTACAATTTGCCGGGGGAGGGAGGAAAGCGGAACTCATTAAAATGTCTCTACATTGACAAGGCCCTGCAGTTTAAAGGCAGAGAGGCTCAGAACAGAGAGAAAGAACGTGGAGGGAAAACACCCCTCCCCAAGCGCCACGGGGCGACCTGAATAAGCGAAATTCGCAGAGGCGGGGATGGCAACAAAAGCCGGGGTCTCGCCGACTTCCACGGCCCCGCCCGCCAGCCCCAGCCCCTGCCCCTGCCCCTGCCCCTGCCCCTGCCCCTGCCCAGCCAGGCCGCCGGGCCTCCAGCTTGGGCGGCGGCTGCGCGCACGCGTGGCCCAGGCGCGCCGGGCCCGCCGGGCCCTCCACGCGCTCATCGACCGCGGGCCCGGGAAGCCCGCGAACTACGTGCTCCATTGGCCCGGGAACCCTCACCGTGCGCTACGTAGGGCCCGCTGGGCGCCATTCCGCGCCCCGGCCCAGGCGGTGGTGCAGCTGCATGGCTGCCGGACCCCGGAGCCCGCGACAGTGAGACTCACCATGTTGGCGGCGCTCGGCGAGAAGGAAAGAGGCCCAACCCAGCCGTGCGCATGTGTAGGAAGCCGCCCCGCCCCTGCGCCGGACGGAACGCCGACGTGAGCGCTGATTGGTTAGAGCTGGGGCGGGCGTGCGCGCGCACTCGCGCGCATGCTCACTGGGAAAACATGGCGGAGCCGACGGGAGCCTGGACGATTTTTTGCTCAAAACGGCCATGAGCTCGCCTTCGGTGAACTGGCGCTCGAGTGGCGGAAGGGAAGGTCCTCTCTCAGTAGTTTAGCGTGAGGAGCACAGAAACTTTGACTCCGGTGTAACTTATTTCACATTCCATTTGACTCTTTTTTTTAACATTCTTCTATCTTTCTTTCCACCACTCATCCTCCCGATTTTTTGTCTAAACGATGTTACTCATGATTAGTGCTAGTTTTTTTTTTTTTTTTTTTTCCTATCCCGGAGTGACTCCAGTAATTTTGTTAACGTTTGATTTTAAAGTCATTCAGACTTACAGAAAAAGTTGGCAAAGCTAATATAGGGAATCCCCATAAGTGCTCAATGTTCACATTTCATGTTTGCCCTTTGTGACCGATTTGAGAGAAAAATGCAGACATGATGTTTCTTTATCGCTACACTATTAAATGTGTTATTTCCTAAAAACAGAGACATGTCTTATGTAATAAAATGATCATAACCTGGAAAGTAATACGAATAGTCTGTTCATTAATTTGCAGTCCTATTTCAATGTTATTGATTGTCCCATTTACAGTTGTTAGAGTAAATGCAATATATATATATATATATATATATATATATCCTGGTTCGCAATCTAATGGAAACAAGTTGTGTTTAGTTAACCATGTCTAGTTTTCTGTTTGTTTGGTTTTTTTAATCTGTAACAGTTCCTAAGCTTTTATCTTTTATAATAATGACATTTTGACATTTTTAAACACAGGCTAGTTGTTTTGTAGAATGTCTCTCAATATGGATTTGTTGTAATTTCCCTCATGATTATATTCAGATTATACCTTTTTGGTAAAAATGCTGTGCCCTTGATGGCATTGTATCAGAACACATGCAAGGTATCTCCTTGGCAGTGTTGCTATGGCATTGTTACTATTCATGACTTGACTAAGATTGTGATTATTTTACCGACAATTCCCAAATCTATTTCAGTCGTTTCCTCTAAGATCTATGCCAGCATCTATTCTGGGGCTGTTCTAAGCAGCCTCCTAAAGTGATCTGCTTTCCCACTGATCCATTTAACCTATTCTCTGCTCAGAAGTCAGAGGGCTCTTTTTAAAAAACAAACCATGCCTGGCAAGTGTGGCTCAATTGGGTAGGTGTCGGCTGGGGCACTGAAGGGTTGCCCCTGGTTTGATTCAGTAGATTGTTTGATTCACTGGTTCAGTTGGGTCCCTGGAACTGGGTGTGCAGGAGGCAGCCCACCTAAATTCTGCTCTCACATCGATGTTTCTCTCCCTCTCCTCTCCAAAAATCAATAAAAAATTTTAAATCAATAAACAAAATCACGTCTTTCTGTTTAAATCAGTGACTTTCTACACTATTTAGAATAAAATCATAACTGCTTGTTCCGGCCTGTATCATATTCTCCTACACACAAATCTCTTGTTCCCCTTCGTCGTGCTTCAGCCACACTGGTCTTCCTGAGTAGGACAAGCTCTCCCCTTCTCCGTGACTTGTACAGGATGTCTCCCTTGCCAAGAATGCTCATACTCCTTCCATGATTGCCACATAAAAAAAAGGCAGACCCCTTGTCCCTTTACTAGATCAGCTTTTTGTTTTCCTCAGAGTTCTTACCACAGTTGTTTGACTCCTTTTTTCTGTCCATTTAGCTGTAGTTTTACACCAACTAAAGTAAGTTCTATGAGGGCAGAACCTTGACCATCTTTTCTTAGCATAATGCTTCCTAAGGGGCTCAATAAGTAGGCAGCAAATGATTGAGTCTTCAGGCTTTAGTATCCTGCTTTATAATTTACAAAGAAAAGACATGAATAAGAACATCCATAGCAGAGTGGTTGTGGTAAGAACCCCAAACTGGGAACTAACCAAAGGCCCACAAACAAGAGAATGGATAAATTGTGGAAGTCTTTATAATAGAGTCATCAGCATCTACGAGGAACATGGATGCATTCACACATAACAGTGAAATAAGTCTGACACATAGAGTATATGCCGTGTGATTTCACTTTTATAAAGTTCAAAACAGCCCTGTCCGGTTTGGCTCAGTGGATAGAGCGTTGGCCTGTGGACTCAAGGGTCCCAGGTTCGATTCCGGTCAAGGGGTACCTTGGTTGCGGGCACATCCCTGGTAGGAGGTGTGCAGGAGGCAGCTGATTGATGTTTCTAACTCTCTTTCCCTCTCCCTTCCTCTCTGTAAAAAATCAATAAAATATATTTTTTTAAAAAAGTTAAAAACAGGCAAACTAATCTTTGGTTGTTAGAAGTGAATGAACGTGTTTCCCCTTGGAGCAGGCAGGGGCAGCTGGAGGTGAAGAGAGACTTCTGAGCTGCTGGTGGCCATTTTCATCTGCGTGTTGGTTACCCAGAGTTCTGTCTGCCCTTCTGAGCAGCCTGCCCTGGGGACTTCAGACTTCCCTGTCCAGTCCCTACAATCGCAAAAGAAATTGATTGCAAAAACAGTCGCTTAACATATATCTCCTACTGGTTCTCTTTCTCTGGTTAAACCCTGACAGCTGTACCAGGTATATCTTTTCATCTGGACGTAGTTTTTAGCAAGTATGTAAAAAGTAAGGATTCTTGGGGAGTAGAGGAGGGGAGATGGGGGCGGAATTCACAAGCCCATTCTCTCAACTAAACAAAAATTAGCAGGAATGCTTGTAGCAAATGTTCAGATTCCCAGTTGTCTCAGTATTTTATAATATTAAAAATAATCTTGAACTAATGATTTATTTATTTATTAGCATCATTAATGAGGTTGAAACAAATAAGACCCAACCTGGGAAATATTTTCTCCATGGCTCCAGCAGAGGGCCTTCATGTCTCTTGTGTTAGCATAGAGCAAACTTTTGGCGAATGTATGATGGATGGATGAATGAATGAATGAATGAATGAGTAAATGGATGAAAGAAATACTTTTTAAAACTCTTATTCATTGCCTGTACTCCCTGACAGACACTGGCTAAGGGCTACATTTCTCTTTTCTTAACAATCCCATGAGGTACTAATAGATATTAACCCCAGAGTTGGAAAGACTTTATGACGCTCATAGAGGTAGCAAATAGCAAATTCTTGAGTTAACCCAGATCTATAATTTTATCTTTGAAATGCCATATAGGACATACAGAAAGTGCATACACGGTTGAAAAAAGGGAACACCTGTAACTACTACCTATAGAATATCAATCACCATCACCCCGAAAGTTCTGTTACTATGGACGGAATTTTTGTGTGCCCCTGATATTCCTATGTTAGAAGTCGGAACCCTCAATGTGATGGTATTTGGTATGGGACTTTTGGGAGGTGATTGGGGTTAGATGAGGTCATGAGAGGGTGTCCACTATCATGATGGAATTAGTAGCCTTATAAAAAGAGACACCAGAGAGCTCACCCTCTCTTTCTGCACAAGCACAGAGACAAGGTCCTGTGAGGACTCCCCGAGAAGGCAGCTGTCTACAAGCCAGAGTTCTCGCCAGGAACTGAATCAGCTGGCACCGTGATCTTCGACTTCCCAGCTTCCAGAACTGTGAGAAATTGATTTCTGTTGTTTACGCCATCCAGTCTCTGATATTTTGTTATGGCAGCCCTAGCAATCTCTGTTCCCCCCAAATTCAAGGGCAGTAATTTTCTTGCTTTTCTTTAGTTTCATCTTCTGTGTTTAGTTTTGCCAGTTGTTGAACTTTATATAAATGGAATTATACTTGCTTTTTATCCTGTTTGTAAGACCCATCCATATTGAACATATTTATAGTTCTTTTTGTTTTCACACCAGATGGCATTTTCTAGCACAGATTATATCACTAGTTATTCTTTGATTTTATGGGATGGGCATGTTGGTGGCCAGTAAGAAAATTCTTAGGTGTGCATCCTGGTGTATACATGCATGCATATCTTAAAACTCATATTCTCTAAGGTATATGCCTTGGACTGGAATTTCCAGGTTATGAGGTATGCATATCTTCAACTTTTTAGATAGTACCACAGTTTCTCAGAGTGATCATCACATTAATTTACATGGTCAGATTTTCTAACTTTTGCAAAACCAATGGGCATATTGTATTATCTTATTGTAGTCTTGATATGTGTTGCCCTGACCTATTTCATGGCATTGAGCACATTTTTACATTTATTGAACATTTACATTTCTCCTATTGTACAGTGTCTTCAAGTTTTTTGCCCATTTAGAAAAAAAATGGATGACCTGCCTTTTCCCCACTGATTCATAGGGATTCTTCATGAAGTTTAGAAACTAGTCCTTTATCAGTCATATATGTTGCAAATACCTTCTTCCTCTCTGTGGTTTGTCTTTTCATTCTTTTCATGGTGTTTTTGATGAATAGACATTCTTAATTTTAATGTAATCACTATTTATTATATTAAAATAAATACCAAGTATTCACCTATGGTTAAGGCTTTTGTGTATGTGTGTTAAGAATCTCTTTCCTTATTCAAGATCTCAAAATCTCGAAACCCTTCAGTCCTCAGACCCACACTCTATCCACTGTACCTCTATTTTAGAGCCATATGCACACACAAAGACGAATAATGATATAAGGATTTATGTTGTAATTCATTTTTAAAAGGTGATGCAGGAGATAGGCCAGTGTGTGTGTAAGGATAGCTTTGTGAAAGAAATAGAGCCTTGAGAAATATCCATTATTTGGATGGATTAGAGGATGACCCAGTCTAGGTAGGGAGAACTCTGTGAGCAAAGGTGCATTTTGGGATGGGAGCAGCCATTCTGGGTGGGAATCAAGAGCTAAAAGGAAAAGGGGGGGGAAGGAAAATATCTAAATGTCAGGCTGTGACCTCACAGAAGCTTTGACTGTCAAATAAGGTAAAGAAATGTTCAACACAACTTCTAGTATCTCAAGGAGCCAAAGGCTTACCAAAGTGGAGCTCCTTGAACTCTCTGAAATAAAAGTAATGACAATGCATAATTTTCTTAATTCATTAGGCAGGTTTTCTTAAGAAAATGTTCTCAATTTTTAAAACTTCTCACCAATGCTGCCTTGGGACCTGAGGAGAAAGAGCGCCTACTATGTGCAAGGTAACACACACACACACCCCCTCCACAAGTCAAAACAAAGTCTGCGTTGTTTATTCCACATTGAGCTACCGAACAACAATCTGAAACCATGCTGATTTTCAGCCTGTGGCCACTGGACATGCCCGAGTTCTCCCCTATCCCCCTTAGGAGTTAAACGTCCCTGCAGCTTCCTTCTCTTTCTCCAAAGTCAAGAACTATGGCTGCTGTGCAGTGAGGTCTACCCCCCAGGAAAGTAACGGGTAAGCAAATCATAGACTAGGTCGTCTTGTGGCAGCATCAAGCATGCCTGTGGAGTGGTGGACAGAATGTACACACCATGCTAACGATTTCCAGAAAGAGAGCCCAAAACAAAAGCCTCACAAAGGCAAAAAGATCCGGGGCACAATACCCTCGCTGGGAACAAATGTTTTCTAGGATGACAGGAGCGATGTGAAGGGGCGGGGAGGAGAGTGATACAGACACGGGCTGCGGTCTAATGACCAGGGCCCTGAGTGGGAGGGAACCCCACTGGGGGAACGGCCAGCTGTTTTCTGGGAGACGTGCTGTGCGTCCTGCCTGCATGACAGAAGCTATGGCCACTGTTCTTGGGTGTAAAGCAGTCTTCTCCCCCATGTATTCTACCTACCTGAGGGAGCACAGTGTTCACAGGATTGCTAAAGGAAAGTCTCAGTTGAGGATCAGTGGGCAGAAAGCCATACAGTGAGATATCTGATTGGGTCAAATGCTTAGTGGGCATCTGTGCCAGGAGGAATATGGCATTTCTAAGGGAGGACAGGATGCAAAATGTGCCCTGAGGTCAATTCTTCAACATTGAACTGTCACAATCTCTGCGTCCTCCTCCGCTGGGGCCCTGGAATAAAGAGCCGGCCTCGAGGGCGTTGGGTGGTGGGGTCTCTGAGGAGCGGTGTGCACAGATCGGTTGAGGGACTCCCCGGGAGGTGCTTTGGCAAACATCAGTATCTGAGAGGCGCATGACCTAAGTATTGGACTGTGGTGGTGTTTCCCGCAGGTGGCCATTTCACTTGCATTGTCTGGTGCCACCCAGGCTGGACCTGGGCAGCCCTCGAGCTCCTGCAGCGGCTCACTCGGCTCACTCGGAATCCACTGCATGGTCCAAAGCATGCTGGGAGCGCCTCTGATTCTTAGACATCACATACAGGTACACCAGGAAGGCCAGGCACAGCAAGGCCACTCCCGTGAAGAAGGCGAGGAGGCTCATAAAGGTAGGTAGCTTCAAGGGCAGGCGGATCAGGGGGATTTCGGCTGGGATCTGGTTGGTCAGGGTGAGCATGTAGCCAAGAGACCAAGCTATGCTGCTGTTTTCCACCTGTGAAGTAGAGAAAATGGCTCAGTGCAGGTTCCCACCCCAACCCAACTGAGAATGGAACCTACAAGCCATGTATGTGTTCTGACCAGGAATAGAACTGTGACCTCATGGATCATAGGTCAATGCTCAATCATTGAGCCATATCAGATGGGCTATATTATTTAAAATAAAATTTAAAATGTACTTTAAAAAAAAGAAGAAGAAGAAAGAAGAAAGAAAGAAGGAGAAGGAGAAGGAGAAGGAGAAGGAGAAGGAGAAGGAGAAGGAGAAGGAGAAGGAGAAGGAGAAGGAGAAGGAGGAGAAGGAGGAGGAGGAGGGGGAGGAGGGGGAGGAGGAGGAGGAGAAGGAGGAGGAGGAGGAGAAGGAGGAAGAGGGAAGGGGAAGGAAAAAGAGAAGGAGAAGGAGGAGGAGAAGAAGAAGGCTCAGTTCTTAGGGCAGGGGTTGAGGTGGGAATGCCATACCCGGGGCACATAACTGTCACCACCATGAAACACCCACCGGAAAGGAGGTCCAAGGACTTGCCCAAGTTCAGACACTGCAGAGGCTGGGCTAGAATCCAAGTCACTGGGACCCCCAAAGGCTCGAGGGCCCTAACTCAGCACTGCAGAAAAGTCAGAACTAGTCCACAGGACCTCGTCATGGCCCAGTGGGAAGAGGGCAGAGCTGGTCACAGAGGAAACATTGTCTGTTGCCGGCTGTAGAGTGTCTGCGACTGAAGAAAGAAGGTAAGTGTGTTCGCCAAGGGCCAGTTTCTAAGAAACAGGGTTTGTCAATTTCTTCCGGTGATTCAATCAGTTTTTGGTTTGTACATTTTTGGGTTGGTTTATTAGATGGATAAATATTTTGAATTTGCAATCTTCATGAAGGATTGAACTTTTTTGACATTATGTTGTAATCCTCTCTATCTTGAATGATGCTCTTTATCTTAAAGACTTATTATTTTCAGATATTAAGTAGCTACAGCAGTTTTCTTTTGGGTGATGTTTGTCTGACAGTTTTAAAAAAATCTTTTTCTTTTTTTTTTAAACTTTCAGTTTTTCCAAATCCTGATGTGTGAAGCCTAAGTGTTCCTCTTATAAATTACATATATTTGATTTTTAAAAAGCAGGTGTGGCAATGTCTGTCTTTTAACTGGTAGGTTTGGCCCATTTATGATTATAGTAATGGTTGATATATTTGGACTCCTAATATTTTACTTTTAAATTTTTGGTGCTATTTTCCTATATTTATTTTTTTTCCTGTCTTGTCTTATAATTGTGTGTGTACATGTTCCCTTTAAAAAATTAGCATTTTAGGCCACTTCTATGTTCCTGTAGCCTATGACCCCCTGATCCTATCCCCATCACATTGAACATTAGTTATACTTGAATTCTGGGTTGTTCTGGTGTATGGATGAATTCTTCTCTTTTACCCTTTTATTTGGTGTTAGTTTTCTTTTTCTTTTTAATATACATTTTAGCTGAAACCGGTTTGGCTCAGTGGATAGAGCGTCAGCCTGCGGACTGAAAGGTCCCAGGTTTGATTCTGGTCAAGGGCATATATCTTGGTTTCGGGCACATCCCCAGTGGGGGGTGTGCAAGAGGCAGCTGATCAATGATTCTCTCTCATCAATGTTTCTAACTCTCTATTCCCCTCTCTTCCTCTCTGTAAAAAATAAATAATATATATATATATATATATAAATATATATATTTTAATATATTGTGGCTTAATATATATATATATATATATATATATATATATATATATATATATATATATATATTAAGCCACAACATTATTTATTCTTACTTCATATGTTTCTATAACATCTGGATTATTTCTAGTCTTATTTCATTACTTCCTCCAAATATAGTTTTGATATGCAGTCTTTGTAGGGCCAATCTTCTGCAGTCTGTTTTGGGCCCTCACATTCGGATACTAACTTGGCTGGATGTAAAATCCTTTTGAATAAAGGAAAGGAATTTGATGCCTAGAACTCTGTGGGCATGCAAGCTGGTACTCAGTGGGAAGTGATTCTCCATCCTCATAACGGACTTTCCTGATAATGAGATCATGAAGTCAAGCCGGGAGAGGACATGCCCACAACAATCCTCATCTGTTCCCAGACATCCTCATTTCTGGTAGATGATTCGATTTCACTTATGTAAAATAGACAGTCACGGGCCTAATGTCAGATGTTGATTGGTTTAATCTAATCAGCCAAAGCTAATACCGAACAGACTGACTCCAGATATGCTTTAGGCTTTACACCAGCTCCTCCTGAAACCAGACAAGCCTCCCAGAACCCGGGAACGTAGTGCCGGATGGGCATGTCAGCAAGGCCGCCTCTGCCCAAGAGCCAGGCCCCAGCTCCGTCCCTGAACAGTCATCTGGGAACAGCTGAGGTTTCAGCTTCGGCCCATTCCAGACACAGGGCCTCAGGCTCATTCCAAGAGAAAATTCTATTTAATCCCTCAAGCTCTAAAGCCTGTATCTTACTCTGACATCTGCATAAATGGAGAGCAATTAGTTACTACCCTCTTTTAAAAAAAATTTTTTTTAAATTGACTTTAAAGAGAGAGAGGAAGAGAGAGGGAGAGAGAAACATGAATGAGAGAATCATCAATTGGATGCTTCTTGCATGACCCCTACTGGGGACTGAGCCCATAACCAGGGCTTGTGCCCTGACCAGGAAGAGAACCAGTGACCTCTTAGTACATGGGATGATGCTCAACCAACTGAGCAACACCAGCCAGGGCAGTTACCATTTTTTTTTTTTTTTATACAAACTGTTATATTGGAAGCTTCTTTTTAGAATGAAAATATGTTAGGATGAAACCCTTAACATATTTATTCATTCACTCAACAAGTATTTCCTAAGCATCTTCCAGGTTCTCGCCCACCTGCTGGATGCTAGGAATCTGAGGGTGATAACACACGGGTCCTTGGCTTCCAATCCTTTGCTCAAGGGGGAGGGTCTGTGATGAACTCCCCATCCTCCCTTCTGGGAGGTCACTGAGGGTCAAAGGCTCTTTCACGCACATACGCGCAAACCTCTATTTTGAGAGGAAGAGGAGGAAGAGATTTGTATTCCGACTTACCTCTTTTTTGAAATGTATTTGGGGCCAGGTGTCCTCGGTGAATTTGTACCCATTCACGAGCAAGTGGTAGATATAGTGGGCCGAGAAGCAGTATGAGCGGGCGTACAGCTCATCAAACTGGGGCAGCAGCTGCGGGAGCTGAGGAGGTCAAAGCAGGGAAGGGCAGGCGGGCAGGCGGGTTTAAAAAATGCACATTTTGGAACACCTTGGGACCATAAGCCTATCTGAAAAAAATTGTATCACCCAGCATTTCATATATATTTTTTAATTTTAATTTTAATTTTTTTTTTAAAAAAATTGATTTGAGAGAGAGAGGAAGGGAGAGAGAGAAACATCAATGAGAAAGAACCATCTGCCTACTGCATTAAGGAATGGAATGATATAATACTAAAACTATATCCCTTGCCAAAACCGGTTTGGCTCAGTGGATAGAGCATGGGCCTGCATACTCAAGGGTCCCAGGTTCGATTCCGGTCAAGGGCATGTACCTGGGTTGCGGGCACATCCCCGGCGAGGGGTGCGCAGGAGGCAGCTGATGGTTGTTTCTCTCTCATCGATGCTTCTGACTCTCTATCCCTCTCCTTCCTCTCTGTAAGAAATCAATAACATATATTTTTTAAAAATCCACTATATCCCTAGAACAACATCATGCAAAGACAATCTCTTAAGTGTACAGGGCGCTTAGGATGTGCCCAACACGGATCTAACCATCACGCAGGGATGGCTCCCTGAGAGCCCCATTCGGGGGGTTAAAAGCAGAACAGCATAGGGCAAAATTCAGAATATATCCTCTCATGTGCACAATGGGGTAGATCTGCTCTGCTGCTGGTGCCGCGAGGGCTCCTTTCTCTTGACGCACTGACCTGACTCCAGTCCTGTGAGCAGAAGTCCCAGGCGCTGGCGTTGAAGGCGCTCAGGGAGAAGCTGCCCGTGAGGTTGAGCGCGTTGGCGGTGTAGTAGAACCCCGCAAAGGCCTGGGAGGAAGCGGAACAGAAGGACATCATGTCTCAGAACGGGACCGACCATGGAGGTTTTAGGTCAGGCAAGAAAAGCAGGGGGCAGGTCAGCAGAAGTAAAACAGCAAGGTGAGAAATAAATATGCAATGGGAAGGAAAAAAACCCAAACAAACCCACAAATCTTTCCATGGTTTTTGCTCTTACCACAAAAGATCCTTTAACCTTTGGCTGATAAATGCTGTCGAAGCAGTAGATTTCTCGGTCGTGGCAAGCTCTGGGGGCAAAGAGGGAAGCCACCTTCACCCGACATAGTAAGGGGTCCCCGGTTCCTTCGAAAGTGACGGTGTCATCGGGGTCATAACCTCCAGGCCTCAGGTCCTCCGTGCACAGGCTGTCAAAGAGGCGGCCCATGGTGAAGTTGGTGACGTAACTCCGAGGGTAGCAGGGATTGGTGACGTTGGTGTCGGTGGTGGAATTCTGTAGGCACAGGAGTGAACCTGTTAGAAACCACTCCTTTGTGGGGGACCACGTACTTCCCTTTCACCAACTCTCATTATCGCTACACTCCAATGCCAAGAGGGAAATGGAGAAAACGCCATTCTGTGTCAGTGGCTACTTGGAAGGCAATTCCCAGGCGGTCTAGGTAGCTCAAGTGGCAGTGAGGGGGCAGTTACCTGTACCAGGTACAATGCTAGGCTCTCACACACATGGCTAGATCCGGCCCTCACGGCAGGCCTGTGAGGCAGGATTTATGAACTCCATTGTGTGATGAGAAAACAAGACAGGCTTAGGTTAATCAGCCATTTTGACTGGAGTATTATCTATCAAACCTAATAAAATACTTCCAAAGGGACAAATACATGACTTGTGAAAATTTAGCTTCCATCCCCCTCATTGCCACCCACCTGACACCCTCCTTGGAAGTGACCTCTGTGGCCAGTTTTTGTGTTATTCTACCAGAGATTTCGTCTGTACTTCATGTGTGCATATGTGAAACATTTTATTTTCTTCTCTCTTTCTTTTAAAAAAAAAAAAATATTTTATTGATTTTTTTTTTTTTTTTTTTTTTTTTTTTTTACAGAGAGGAAGAGAGAGGGTTAGAGAGTGAGAAACATCGATGAGAAAGAATCATTGATCAGCTGCCTCTTGTACACCCCCTACTGGGGATGTGTCCGCAACCAAGGTACATGCCCTAGACCGGAATCGAACCTGGGACCTTTCAGTCCGCAGACCGACTCTCTACCACTGAGCCAAACCGGTTTCAGCTTCCCTCTTTCTTTTACTAAAATCATAAATGGTAGTACCTCGCCGGGACCGGTTTGGCTCAATGGATAGAGCGTTGGCTTGGGGACTGAAAGGTCCCGGGTTCGATTCCGGTCAAGGGCATGTGCCTTGGTTGCGGGCATATCCCCAGTAGGGGGTGTGCAGGAGGCAGCTGATCGATGACTCTCTCTCATTGATGTTTCTAACTCTCTATCTCTCTCCCTTCCTCTCTGTACAAAATCAATAAAATATATTTTTTTAAAAATGGTAGTACCTTACACACTCTTCTGTTTCTTTTTTTTTTTATATATATAGCAAAGGTGGAAATTTATTGAAGAATAAGTACAGACAGATTCCACACATTAGTCCTAATCGCTGGCCTAGGGATCCTACCTGTGCACTAATAAGAGGATAATTACCAAGTATCACCCAGGTGTCCTTCTCACCACACTGTGCAGGCCCTTATGGTGCAGAAGAGGAAATGAGACGCAGACTCAGCCAGTGAGCATGATGTCATAATCTGCGTGAACTTCTCGGTCGGGCTTGCTAGCATGTACTTGGGGCATGAAAGTGCCAGTCAGGCAGGTCCGAGCACACCATTTGTGGGTGATCCTCATCACAACCGATCGTTTCCCTCACCTGAGTCAGAGGCTCAGGGCAGGGCCACCCTCTCAGCATCCTGAGGTGACCAGGCACGTGGGAGAGGTGGCTGGTCCCTGAGAGATGACTGTCCACAGGCTGAGGCTGGGCTCGCACACCGCTGCCCCCGCACACCGCTGCCCGCAGTCCTGGACTCACACCTGGAAGCTTGTGTTTTCATATGCAAATGGACCTCAGACAGGTGTGCCTACAGTACTCAGGGCCAGCTGACTTGAAAAGGTTAAACTCCCTGACCCCTGCTCACCTGGGAGGATGGTTTCACCTGCCTCCTTCTGTCTGTCGGAGTTCTGAGGAGCCCCCCTGCTCTCCCCTCCCCCTCCCCCTGCCAGGGCCAGAGCTGCAGGAAGGAGCATTAAGCTTTGCCTGAAATAACAGGAGGTTGAGAAAAGAGGATTTTCCAGGGCTTTTCTCCTGGAAAGAGGCGTGCTGGCTGAGACTTAATGCTTGGCAGGGCCAGACCAAAGGATTTCAAAAGCCTTATATAGCCCTGTGGCTGACGGTCCCCAACCCAGCCATAAAGGGATCCCGGAACTCAATCATTTATACAATGTCTGGAGCTCTGGAATTTCCTTGGAATTCTGACTCAAATACACTGGAAGTGGTCAACACGAGAAAGAGAGAAAGAGAGAGAGAGAGAGAGAGAGAGAGAGAGAGAGAGAGAGAGAGAGAGAGAGAGAGAGAGAGAATATGCAAGCATGAGCACTTGGACCTCAACAAGTAAACCAGGAAGGGAGAGGGAGGGAAAGAGAGAAAGAGAGAGAGGCAGAGAGAAACAAAGAGACAGAAAGTGAGAGAGAAAGCACAGACCCCCACAAGTAATCCGGAAAACGCTATTGATTGCATCCACCTTCACACTGGAGTGGAAAGGACGGGGCCCGGAAGGCAAGGCACCCTCCCCTCAGCTAAGACCCCCATGGAAACGCCTGCTCCCACCGCAGCCTCGGGTACCTGCAGGAGGATTGCCAGGAACCTCTTCTCGGCCTCGTTGCGCCCGTAGCACTGGAAGCTCCGGGTGTAGAGGGTGTACACGTAGCCGTACAGGGACACCTTTATGATGTCGCTGGTGTTCAGCTCCACCTTCTCTCCCACCGCGAAGGATATCTGGGTGGAGGCGCCACCCAAATCCAGGGCGCCTGTGGTGTCCACTCCGTGGGGATGCACCCACATGCGCCATAGGTCCTTCTGCACAGCGTGATAAGAGAGCATGAAAACATGCCAGAGATGCCGTTTCCGTTTGCCCAGGGCTCTCCGCCTAAGACCCATCTCTGACTGCTAAGGACTAGGACTCAGGGGGAAGCACTCGGGACCAAACCTCTCCTTTACGTCAGGGGCGGTGAGCTGGGCCGGCAACAGAACGAGCAAAGGAGGTTCGGTGTGGACCACAGGGAAGGGTGGGGACTCTGGCAAACCGGGGAGCTGCCCTCCGTCCCAGTTGGCTGGCACCATGCGGGAATGTGAGTCCAGCACTTGGGGGGAAGTGGGGTCAGGAGAAGCTATGAATTTTTATGTGAAAATTTTCAAAATATTAAGTGTGGGCAATGAACGGAAAATGTGAACATGTGTTTGAGGAGGAACAGAATAGGGCTTGGGCTGGGAATGGTCTCTGTAACGCCGTGATGTCTCTTGGGGTCAGCCTTCCTCCGCACCAAAGGAGAAGGGCGTGTGGGGGTTGGCGTGTAACGGAGACCTGGGGACACGGGGCCTGGGGAGCGGGCCACCTGAGGCTCTGTACATTCCGGGTGGCTCTGGGCCAGCTTTGAAGAGTCATTCTCCAGCGGCCCTTCCTATTACCCAAGGCCCAGGGTAAGAGTCTCTCCTCCTCCCCGAGTGTTTTATTTGCTAGCGAAGGGATGCTAGTCCCTTTCCCCCATGCGTTTGGTCCTGCTTAGAACCAAGGCTTTGCACCAGCTAGCGAGTCTTTTCTCCCCTATGGTCTCACGTGTTTCCCTAATGCGCCACCCCATAGGAATGACACGAGACAGACGCCCCTGTTGGCATGCACCTCTGCTTAAGCTACCGCCCACGGGGGAAGGGGGTCCATAGCAAGATGAAAAACCATGCATTTGTTTTCACACACCTCCAGGAAATTTCCCATTAAATAGTTGGCTGTAATCCATCCATATAGCCCTTCCTCTTGCCCAGAAATGATTTGAGCACCCCTAAAATCAAAGGGCTGGGACTCGAAGTAGTTTTGGATGCTCGCAAGGACTTCATTGGCTGCTGTTTCATTTTGCAACCTACGCAAGGCACAGAACACACAAGGCTGAGTGCCCAGACCACGGAGCCTGAGCATAACCTCACGCAGGTGAACAGATGAACCCGCCCCGCCCGCTGCTGACAGGGGCGAGATGTGTGCCACACAAGGCAACCCCTTCTGCAAGCGGAGGCTTCTGGGTAACAGGGAGCCCTTGTCACCTGTCAGCCTGCCGAGCAGGAAAACAAATTCCAGTAAAAGCACCCTGTTCTCTCCTCCCCTACCTGTTCCTGTCCCACCCTCCAGCCGCCAGCTAGTCCCAAGAGCCCCTTGCTTCATCACGGCTGCTCTGTCTCAGGCCAGCAGAGGAAAGGAAAGGGGTGAAGGCACAGAAGTGGTACAAGCCATCTTTGGGGGCACCATCCGAAGGAGCCCTCATCAAGCCAGAAGGAAGGGGAGCCTAGGAGGGGGCGGGGAAAGGAAGAGGGTGGACTTTCCAGCTGTCCCTACTTTGCTCTTTGGGAGTGCTTCCCCAGGGGGGATATGATGACCCTCAGGGGCGTGTCACGGGATGGAAACCCATTAGCGTGCTGCCCTCGGAGGGGTGGCAACATAGGAGTTTCATGTCGCCCAGGACATGTGTGATCATACCCTCAATCTGCTGCCATTTCACCCTTCAGAAGAAAGTTGACTGGGGCCTTGTTTTCCCTTTCACCCCTGGGTAAAGCCAGGGCCGTGGGCTCACTCTTGGCTCAAGAGCAGTGGTTCTCAACCTTTCTAATGCTGCAGCCCTTCCATACAGTTCCTCATGCTGTGGTGACTCCCAACCATAACATTATTTTCCTTGCTACTTCATAACTGTAATTTTGCTACTGTTAATAAATCGTAATGTAAATATCTGTGTCTTCTGATGGTCTTAGGCTCTATAGCAGCGGTTCTCAACCTGTGGGTCATGACCACAGGTTTGCCTAAGACCATCGGAAAACACAGGTATTTACATTAGGATTAGCAATGAAAATAATGTTATGGTTGGGGGTCACCACAGCAAGAGGAACTGTATCGAAGGGCTGTGGTATTAGGAGGGTTGAGAACCACTGCTCAAGAAGAAAAAGCAGTGCGACAAGCAGTAGCAAGCAATGGATGCTTGGAAAATAACTCAGAGTTTCCCTAGTTTCATCTGTTCTCGTCCAGGATGATTCTCATTAATTTAAAAAAAAATATCTTTTTCTAGCAACTAAAATGCCAACTAGTTGCTCAGAAGAAATGGCTCACCATCAGAAGGAGGAGTTCATATTTCATTTATTCAAATGGAACACTCATTCACTTCTCCCAAGCGTTGACCTTCCCACCCATCGTGTAGGTCAGGGGCTATACATTACAGAGCCTTGTAGTTATTTCTTACTCAGAGGACTGGGAGGGGGAAAAGCAGCGAAGTAAACATTGGGTTCTTTGTTTGCAAGTGAAAGAAAAGGCGGAAGGAAGGAATTGCTATATCATTTCTATTTCAGGTAAACGCAATCATTTTAAAACATGGCAGATTCCAGGAGATCCTATGAACCTCTTGGTCAACCATGACTTAGGAATGGGAACAAGGGTCAGAAAACTGCAAGGAAAAGGCCCAATCCAAGTAAAAAAAAAAATTATGGTGATATTAAATAAAGAGGCTCTGTTTGTTCGTTCCTTTGTGTTTCCTTCATGCCTACATGCGATCTTACATACTGGGATCACAGACAAGGGGGCTTGGGAGGAGAATGAGTGTCATCTTTTGGGAATGAAGTCTCATTTTCAAAGTTTGGAGCGGCTTCTACCCTAGCTAGATTTGAGTTTCATGTTGTTGGGTTTTCAAACTATTTTGTCTTTTATTTCAAGGCCAATGGACTACGATAATGAAGAAACAGAGATAAATGGCATTCAGAAACAATGCAGCTGGGCTAAGTACTGGCTGCAAATCTAGAAGGAGCTGCTTAGTTGGGTGAAATGAGACATTTGTTTCATAGTAACGCCAAAGGCTTTGATGGGGCAGGGCGAGGTGCAGAAATGTCATGGTTTTGAAGTAGATTTCAGTGACATTTTGTACGTGGGTACAAGCTACAGAGCTATGGGTAGTCCTTACTGGAGCTGGTTGTGCACAAGTGTCAACATACCAGCTGTCAAACACTGTTTCTACTTTTTGCCCAGCTGGTGTGGCTCGGTGATTGAGCATTGACCTATGAACCAGAAGGGCAGAGTTTGATTCCTGGTCAGGGCACATGCCTGGGTTTCAGGCTCTATCCCCAGTAAGGGGCGTGTAGGAGGCAGCTGATCAATGATTCCCTCTCATCACTGATGTTTCCTATCTTTCCCTCTCCCTGCCTCTCTGAAATTATATATATATATATATATATATATATATTTAAAAAACAAAAACAACGGAAGTTTCTACTTTTCTAAAATCTAGAGTCAACCCCATGAACAGATTTCACGTCACCCTCCTCTTCCTCAGAGTTCTCATTAGAACTGCCAAGGGCAGGGGAATCTATTTCAGAACCGTTTCTTCCTGGGTATTAAAATAAAGACGAAAAGTTTCCCAAGTTCTAAAGCCCACATTTATGGCAGAATATGGGCTTCTGCCTTTGGGATTTGGTCCCAGAAATAGTTACGTTCTTGGCAAGGCCCAGCGCATTCCTGGCTATTTCGGTCCCACGGGCAGCTCCGTGCCCTTCCCGCCCTTACCTCAGCAGGCGCATCCCCGCCGTGGCACCCAGGTAGACGTGCGTGGACCCCAGCAGGTGGGCTGGAATCTTCTCCTTGGCTTTTTGCAAGCAATCCTCGAAGGCTTTGGGGGCGTCTTGGGGGTTTTTCCCATAGCTGGAGATCCCCGAGCCTAAAGAGCAAGCAGCCAGCACTGCTTAGCATCCCCAGGAGCCCACAAGAGCAGCCCAACTTCCAAATAAGAAACCAGTCAGCTTTGGCTGAAACCGGCTGGCTCAGTGGTAAAGCGTCGGTCTGTGGACTGAAAGGTCCCAGGTTCGATTCCAGTCAGGGGCATGTACTTTGGTTGCGGGCACATCCGCGGTGGGGGTTGTGAAGGAGGCAGTTGGTTGGTGTTTCTCTCTCATCGACGTTTCTAGCTCTCTATCTCTCTCCCTTCCTCTCTGTAAAAAATCAATAAAAATATATTTAAAAAACACACACACACACGAAACCAGTCAGCTTTGGAAATGAAGAGGTTTTAGGAGGGGGTTGAGAATAAGTGGGTGTGCTAGGGGCCGGGATGCGTCAACTCCCACTATAGGAAGGAGAGTATGACAAAGGTGAGAAAACTGAGGGGGAGAGGGGGTGAACCTGTTTACAAAAGTTGTTAAGTCGGTAAAGGGGTAGAATGTATGGTAACGGAAGGAAACGACTTTGGGTAATGAGCACTCAATAGAGTCCATAGATATCACATTATGTTGTTTACACCTGAAATTTACATAATGTTATTAATCAATGCTACCTCAATAAGTTCAATTTAAAAAAATATACCCATGCCCTAGCTGGTCTGGCTCAATGGACAGAGCATAAGCCTGTGGACTGAAGGGTCCCATGTTTGATTCCGGCCACGGGCACGTGCCTGGGTTCCTGGCTTAATCCCCAGTAGGGGGTGTGCAAGAGGCAGCCAATCAATGATTCTCTCTCTCATCTTTGATGTTTCTATCTCTTTCTCCCTCTCCCTTCCTCTCTAAAATCAATAAAATATATCCAGACCTCACCTTTTAGAGAGCTTCAGTCTACCCTTATGCCAATAGTATGCTGCCTTAATAAATGTATTTTTACAAAAAAAATGTTCTCATTCTGGAAATTTCAAACATACATAAAAGTAGGGAGTACAATGCAGTGAACCCGTGCACCACCTCCCAGCTTCAACCATGATCACCTCTTACTCCACCTGCACCCCTGCCCCCATTCTCTCCTCAGAAGCAAACCACAGACATGGCATCTTCTCATCCTGTAAATATTTCAGCACGCATCACTAAAGACAAGAGTGCTTTTAAAGCAGCATAACCACCACCCCACTAGCATACCTATAAGCACTTACAATCGTCCTTTAATATCATCCAATATCTAGCTAAGGTTCACTTGTCCTCTTTGTCATATTTTCCTCGCCCCCACCCCTCTCTTTCTAGTTTATTTGAATCAGAGCCCAAATCAACCCCACCCATTGCCATTGGTTGGTAGATCTCTCAGGTCTCTTTTAATCTAGAGGCTGTGCTTCTCTATTTTTTCTTGGTAATTAAAAAATGTTTCCTCTCCCAATTTAATTTGGCTTGTAGAGTTCCCCGCAGCCTACACGTTGCTAATCGACTCCCCATGGTTCATTTAACATGCTCCTTGGTCCCTGTTTTTCCTAGGAATTGGAAACTGAATGCTGAGGCTTACTCGGACTCAGGTTTGAACTATATCAGAAGCAAGAATTCATAGGGATGAGTGTGTACTTCCAATAGGAGGTGCCAGTGTCTGACTATTTCTTTTTTTCTCCTCCTCCTCCTCCTCCTCCTCCTTCTTCTTTTAAAATATATTTTATTGATTTTTTTACAGAGAGGACGGGAGAGGAATAGCTAGAAACATCGATGAGAGAGAAACATCGACCAGCTGCCTCCTGCACACACACCACCCCCCCCACACACACACACTGGGGATGTGCCCGCAACCAATGTACATGCCCTTGACCGGAATTGAACCTGGGACCATTCAGTCCGCAGACTGGCGCTCTATCCACTGAGCCAAACCGGTTTCAGCTGGCTGTTTCTTTTCAGATGCAGGCACCACTGATCACTGCTGAGAACCATCGGTCCAGTAGGGCCTGAAAATGGTGCTATTTCCCCCCTGAAATGCTATAGAAGAGCTACACCATCATTCACCACTTGGATACCCTAGTCTCAGTGGTCAGCAAACTCCTTAGTCAACAGAGCCAAATATCAACAGCACAATGATTGAAGTTTCTTTTGAGAAACTTCTTCTAACACCACTTCTTCAAAATAGACTTGCCAGGCCGTGGTGTTTTGTGGAAGAGCCACACCCAAGGGGCCAAAGAGCCGCATATGGCTCGAGAGCCGCAGTTTGCCGACCACTGCCCTAGAATACCGTTTGTCCAGAGAAGACAGGATAAGTGCTTGATTCCGTTCCTTTATTCACCAGCTTAAAAATACAGACTGCATCTCCAATATCTCTCTCACTTAGTCAAAGAGGGATTTTGTTTGTTTTGTGTCTTTCGAACACAGAAAGGCATATTTGATGTGTTTCCATTCATTGCAGTTATTCTTACTGAGCTTTCTTCTGGCCCTGACTCCCCTGAGATGTTCTTTGCTTTCTGACATGATAAGATGTGTCAGTGACCATATACACTTCCTGCCCCGAATCTGGGTTCAGCCATTTAGCCAGGGAGCCCTGGTTGTTTTCATTGAGTGATGGTATTTAGCACCCAAAGTTTAGAAGCTACAGTGCTCACTGTAAGTTTTCTCAGAGGAGACACCTAGGGAAATCTTTATTTCAAGAGAAAAATATATCATGAATTCTTGTTGGTGCTTCTAATTCAAAACTATAAGTTTTTACTGAAATTCTTTGATTTTCCTATCCTCATCTTCTTTTTTCTATGCTACAAATCCTGCTTGCTAGCACTTCAACTTAAAAACTCATTTGCTTTATTTCACAGTCCACACACAAGTCTCAGAATGACAACACTGCACTACCAACAACTTAGACTGTATCATTATTGAAAACAGTTTAAGATTTCTTTTAAAGTTCTTTCTGTCCTAGGGGAATATGCCACGAGGCATGTACAGTGTCCAGAAATAAAGCTACTACTTAATTCTTTACAGAAAACATTTGCCAGCTTGACTTAGGCCCCTCCATCCAGCTCCTGAGTCCAAAATCAAATTCCTCAATCCCTGCAAGTCCCCAGCTGACTGCACTCCAGGGAAATGGTACCACCACCTGCAGTTACCAGCTCAGAACGGATGCTCAGGCACCATCAACCCCATGCCTCACATTGAATCTATCCTTAATTCTTATTGGCTCTCCTGTCAAAACAGCTTTCCAATCTGAGCCCACCTCAGCCCGTCCCCCAGAGCCATCCCAGACCAGTTTCTTAACCTCAGCACTGGCCAGATAACTCTTTTGTGGAGGCTGTCTTGTGCCTTGGGCGATGTTTAGCTGCAAGTCTGTCCTCTACCACTAGGTGACAGCACCTTCCCAACCCCAGCTGGGACCATCCAAAATGTCCCCGGCATTATCAAACGTTCCCTGGGGGTGGATGGAACAGGCGGATGGGGGGAAATCCCCCGCTGTTGAAAAGCACCTGTCCACCAGACCATCACAGCACCATCTGTCACCCTCACTGTTTACCACCACATGTTCTGTATCAACAGAGGGATCCATTAAAATGATAAGTCATGCTAAAACCCATTTGGTTCAGTGGATGGAGCGTCGGCCTGCCAACTGAGGGGTCTCAGGCTCGATTCCGGTCAGGGGCATGTACCTTGGTTGCGGACACATCCCCAGTGGGGGGTGTGCAGGAGGCAGCTAGTTGATGTTTCTCTCTCATCGATGTTTCTAACTCTCTATCCCTCTCCCTTCCTCTCTGTAGAAAATCAATAAAATATATTTTTAAAAATAAATAAATAAATAAAATGATAAGTCATAGCATGTTAGTTCCCTGATCAGATTCTCCTAGTGGCTTTCAGCTTTGGTCTCCTCTCTCCCTTCCTCTTCCCCTTTCTGCTCCTTTGCTTTTCCTAGAAAATGCTGAGCAGCTTCTACCCGTGGCTTGCTCAGCATGTTCTTCTCTCAGAAACTTGCATGGCTCACTCTCTTGTCCTACTTTTGTCTCTGCTTAACTGTCACCTTTTTTGTTCTTCCCCAAAGATCATGTCAAAAATAGCATAATCACTCTCTGTCCACCTGCCTGGCTTGATTTCTCTTCGCAGAACTTCTCCCTGACGTATCACATATCTGTTTATGATCTATCTCCTTCATTAGAATGTACGTTCTGTAACAGCAGAGACCGTATATTTTGTTTGTTTCACAATTCCCAGACTCAAGAAATGTTACTGGCAAATGGCAGATACCCAGTAAACATCGACACTAATAAAAAGGTAATATGCTAATTAGACCGGATATCTTTTGGACATCCTTCTGGACAAAGCCACGGTGGCAGGGGCCGAGGCAGAGGTGGTTAGGGACAATCATGCCGGCAGTGGGGAGCGATCAGGCCGGAAGGGGAGGGTGGTTAGGGGGCAATCAGGTGGGTAGGCAGAGGCGGTTAGGGGCAATCAGGTCAGCAGGCAGAGGCAGTTAGGGACAATCAGGCAAGCAGGCAGGCAAGTGGTTAGGAGCCAGTGGTCCCAGATTGCGAGAGGGATGTCCCCCAAGGGGTCCCAGATTGGAGAGGGTACAGGCCAGGCTGAGGGAGCACCCCCTCCCCATGCACAAATTTCATACACTGGGCCTCTAGTTTATTAAATAAAAGAATGAAGTAAGGATCAACCAGCATGCAACTCTATAGGAAGGGATTCCTTTGCTCCCAGCTGCAGCAAACAAACAATATTCTGCCGGAGCCGGCCTCTGGATGGGGACTGGTTAGCAGCCTTGCTAGAATGTCCACCCTTGGAATATCCGAGCATGTCCCCTGTTCACATAGGTCCCTTAAGACTCCTACAGGGGAAAAAAGATTGGGCTCATAGGTTCTTGGGACACTGGGATTCTCAAGCCCAAGGACAGAGTTAAAACTGTATTCCAACCTGGGACAGAGGGGTGGGTAGACAACACAAAACTTACTCCCAGTGGGACAGCAGCATGAGACACCCGTGTCTGAGCAAAGGGTGCTGTCCACACCGGAGTGGCTGGTCACTGGCACGACTCTTGGAGTGGTTTTCCATAGAGGAGAAGGCTCCCGTGGGGGCTGAGGTTCTAAGCACCGGTGTGAATGGAAAGCATGAGTGTCCCTTGTGGGAGAAGGCAGCAGCAGGCAAGAGCGCCACCCACAGCGAAACAAAGGAGGGGTGTCAAGGAACCAATCCCCCCAATAAGAGCTCCAGCACAGGGACCAGCACCCAGGGGACCCCCGGAAAAGAGCACCCCAGGGAGGCCCAGGGAAATACATTTCAGAGGGCCCAGGCATTCTGGGAAACACAGCCAGGCAAGCAAGCATTCCACATCCACTCGGATTGCCTAAGGCGGGGAGTCCCGGGGGAAATTTGCAATTGAGAAACCAGAAACCCAAATTATCCTCGGAGAAGCCACATGTCCTCGAGGGGGTGACACTTAACCCAAGTCAGCTCTGTCATTAAGCCTTCGCTTGTGGTCCTTTGGCCGGTCAGGGTAAATGTGGATCACTGAGGCTTCTGGGATCAAAGGAGGGACGATCCATTTATGGAGGCGGTGTGGCTCCATGACCCCGCTCCGCCCTTCAATCCCACCCCGGGTGGCCCAAGGCCCCCACCCCCGAGAGGCTGCCCGTGTTCCTTCCCATGACAGTCGCACGTCTCCCTACGCGGCAGAGGGACATCAGGGCTGATCTGGCTAAGTAGCTTTCCCGGGTCGAACAGACCTTATAACTCTGGCACCAAGGACCTAACGTGTGAGGCCCCATGAACAATAACAGCTAACACGTATGGAGTGCTCAGTGTGTGCCAGGCGTTGGCTACCTGCTTTCCATGTATGATGCCATTTAATCTTCAAATCTTTTCTGTGGGGGAGGCTTTGCTCTTGCTATGCTTCGTGTTGTCTGAGAAATGAGGGAGTCAAGATGAGTGGGGTCAAGATACCTTTCCAGAGCTCACAGCAGGGATGAGGGGACGTCTTAATCACTATTCTCCACTCTCCTCTCTTCTTGAAATGGGGGGGGGGGGGGTGCTCTCTTTTCTAAACAAGCACCCTGGAGCTCTCTCTCACGCCCAGGGGAAACAGCTCAAACATTGGGAGAAGAGATGGGGTTTCTGGCTAAGGTCGGAGCAAGGCGACTGCTGCTGTGGACAAGCAGCACTGGAAAACATCCAACTTCCTAATTGTGATGAGCCCAGACGCCCTTCCCATAAAGACATGTTGTCCCAGCCACCAGCAACGCCAGGGGTTGCCTCGGCCCCGTAGGGAGCTGCCCTGCTCAACATTTTGCTCTTTCCAGGGTGGCAACAAGGAAGGCCTGGATGCGGAAGGACTGTCTAGCTACCTAGCCACTCCAGGCCATTTCAGTCCAAAGAAAATTATGATTGGCTGAAGTTTTGCCAGGCCTGTGTTGCACTTTATCACTCTTATGTCTAATCCCTCTTTTTTTTTTTTTTTTTTTTTTTTTTTACAGAGAGGAAGGGAGAGGGATAGAGAGCTAGAAACATCCATGAAAGAGAAACATCGACCAGCTGCCTCCTGCACACCCCCCACCAGGGACATGCCCGCAACCAATGTACATGCCCCTGACTTGAATCAAACCTGGGACCCTTCAGTTCTCAGACCGACACTCTATCCACTGAGCCAAACTGGCTTCAGCCTAATCCTTCTTCTTCAACAGGCATGGATCTCTAGTCACCACCTGGTACCCCTAGCTGAAACCCAACTGGAACACCATGCATCAGGGTAGACCAGGCCAGGATGCTCTCCACAGCAGAGCAGGTGATCAGAATTCTCCCTTGTTTTCAAAAGAAGACTGTTAGGAAAGGCTAATTCTGCCTCTCAACTTTTTCTTTAAAAAAAATGTTTTTTTATTGATTTCATAGAGAAAGGGAGAGGGAGAGGGAGAGGGAGAGGGAGAGGGAGAGGGAGAGGGAGAGGGAGAGGGGGAGAGAGAGGGGGAGAGGGAGAGGGAGAAGGAAAAGAAGTAGAGGGAGAGGGAGAGGGAGAAGGAGAGGGAGAGGGAGAGGGAGAGGGGGAGAGAGAGGGGGAGGGAGAGGGAGAGGGAGAGGGAGAGGGAGAGGGAGAGGGAGAGGGAGAGGGAGAGGGAGAGGGAGAGGGAGAGGGGGAGGGAGAGAGAGAGAGAAACATCAATGGTAAGATAAAATCATTGATCAGCTGCCTCCCGCATGCCCTCCAATGGACATTGAGCCCGCCACCTGGGCATGTGCCCTGATCAGGAATTGACCTGGTTTGTAGGTCGATGCTCAACCACTGAGCCATGCTGGCCAGGCTGCCTCTCAACTTATCCAATGCCATGACCCTCAAGACATTCTAATGCTTGAGAAGCTCATTGAGGGAAAGCAAGGAGATACTTAGGGCCAGGAGGGCTGACCCGGAGGATCTGACCCAGACAGGACTCACAGACTGGGAAGCCCAGGGCCACCTCAAAAGTCAGAGTGCGCTAGGTGACGGTTTATTTTTTTTTATTTTATTGATTTTTTACAGAGAGGAAGGGAGAGGGATAGAGAGCTAGAAACATTGATGAGAGAGAAACATAGATCAGCTGCCTCCTGCACACCCCCTATTGGGGATATGCCCTTGATGGGAATCGAACCTGGGACCTTTCAGTCCGCAGGCTGACACTCTGTAAAAAATCAATTAAAAAAAAAAATATATATATATATATATATATTTATATAAAGATGCTGATACTGTGCTGTTTCAGGGGTTGGCAGCTTATGGGCCAAATCAAGTCCATCATCTTTTTGTGTGTGTGCAGCCTGTAAGATAAAATAGTACTTACCCCCACTCCCTCTTTTTTTTTTTTTTTTTTTTTTTTAGAATAGTTTATTGATTTTGAGAGAGAGAGGAAGGGAGAAGAGAGAAACATCGATGTGAGAGCCTCCCGCACGCCTCTGACTGGGGATCGAGCCCGCCACCTGGGCATGTGCCCTGGCCCGGAACTGAACCAGAAACCTCGCGGTGCATAGAACAACACCCACACGGGGCAGGGCAGTTTCTACATTTTAAAACGGTGGGCAGAGGAGTTCAAAGAAGCAGAAAGAGTATCTTGTGACTCGTGAAAATGATACGAAATTCAAACTCTCGGGGTCCATGCATAAAGCTTCCCTGGGACAGAGCCAGGCCTACTTGTTTCTGGATTGCCCATCCCCCCTATCCCACCCCGTTCCCTCCCCCCGTTACCCCTGCGGGGAAACAACGTGTCTCTCGTGTTCCTGCATGTTTTATGAGCACAGACACTGATTGCCTTTGTTCCGGGTTATTTTTCAAGGATGTTTACACAGCGGACAGGCTCGGAGGACAGAGAGGAGTTGCACCCGGCGCAGAAGGCAAGGCACGCTCAGTGCCCTTTATAAATGTTGCAGATTCCCTCAGCTCAGGTTCCTCTTCTGTAACACAGCCCACTGTGCGAGCAGACACTGTCTGGCCCGCTTCGCACCCTCCTCAGAGAGCCAGCCTATGACGACGCGCTGATGCTCTGGCTACCGCCATTGCTGTGAATAACCAACGGCCCTCTATCTGTGTCTCCCGCCAGCATCCACGAGAGCGCGGCAGGTGACCTCTCAGACCACTCACAGTTCTTCACACGTCCCCCCCCTCCCCCAACCTCTGAGGGTTTTGTTGCTGTTGTTTCATTTATTTATATGTTTTTAAAATTCTTTGCTGTCAAAAGTATTATATATGTCCTCTTCCCCCCCCACCACCACGGACCCCCTCCAGCCCACTCCCACCCCTGCCTTCGCCACCCTATTGTCTGTGTCCATGGGTTGTGCATCTATGCATACAAGGTCTTTGCAGGCCTCTTTGTTCCACAGTTGAGAACACAGCAGCCCAGAGAAGGGCAGTGACTGACTCAAGGTCACGGTTACTGACGGGTAGCAGCACTGGCATAAGATCTCACCGGTTTCTGGCCCCCCAGTCCACGCAGCTTCTCGGGACCCCTCCCGGCCTTCAAGGACACCGGCCTCTCCCTTTGCTTCCCTCTGGGCCCCCAGCCCCACCGGGGCCTTACCTCTCACGCCGCACTTGCTGGTCTGGTTGACCACCCCGGTATTGTTCTCCTTCTCCGCCGGCCACTGGTACACGTAGACAGTGGTTCTGGAAGACCCGGCATCGAGCACGATTCCGTACTGCACGACGGGGGAGGGGAAGGGGTCAGAAAGGTCAGAAATAGGCTGGCCTTCTCTGGAAACTGCTTTCCCCAGCAGGCCCCGAACACTCTCACGAGCTTAATCCACGCTGCTTCCCGTAGGTAAGGGCTGACTGAGAAGAAAACACTATGTGCTCCAGACCAGTGCTGTCCCCTTAGTCTGTGGGGGGAGGAGGGGACACAGGGAGGCAGGGCCGATGTCCCAGGGCACGGTTCTCAGTCGTGGCCACACATTAGAATCACCCGGGGAGCTCTGGAAGCTCCCAGTGCCAAGCCTGTGCCCCACACCCTCGCCATCGGAATCTCTGGGAGAGGATCCGGGCATCAGCGGTTCTCAGAGCTCCCTTGGTGACTGACTCCTCATGCAGCCAAGGCTGAAACGTCATGTTCGAGGACGGACCTTGGATACAAAGACAGGCCCGTGAGTCCCCTTCCTCCAGCCCTCTGAGGTCGGGGCAGAGGGAAATGAACAGTCAGTCACCTCCTGCCCTCTATGCTCCAGACTTCCATGTCTGTCTTCCTGGAATAAACAACCAAAAGGGAACTATAGGTGGGGTGTTCGCACAAGGTAGACGCGTGAATATCTGAATCAGCCCTCAAAATTAAAGTATTCCTATTTTCCCTTTAAAAAAAAAAAAAAAAGATTCTTCTATTGATTCTTAGAGAAGAAAGGAGAAAGAGAAACATCAGCGTGAAAGCAGAACACCCATCGGCTGCTTCTTGCACTTCACGTGCCCTGACCGGGAACCGAACCAGCAACCTTTCGGTGCACGGGATAACACCCAACCTACTGAGCCACTCGGGCCAGGGCTAAACATATGTCTTTAAAACAACACGGGAACATAGTGTACGTAGTCTTTTCCAACGCTTCTCTCTTACTTAAAATGATGTCAGGAACCTGTGTCCCTGCCAATAGAGCCATTTTCAGTGCACTCCCCGCGTCCGCGGACAGATTTACAGTAATTTATTGAACCGGTTCCCTGATTCCAGACATGGAGGAGGCTTCCAACTTTCTACTTTGCGAATTTTGGCTCCATCTAAAATGGGACTGAATGATAAAAACTTGCTGCTCTGGCTCCCACATCCCAGCTTCCCCCTGACATGAGGGAGAACATCCTGTGTTCACTGGTATGTGAGCTCGGGCAGCCTCTTAATCTCAGCCCTTCAGTCTGATGAATGTTGATCGGGATCCTGACCCGACACCTTCCGCGGGGAAGAAAAGAGGCATTGTGCGCCGTCCCTCCCGGGCAGAGAGATGGGCAGAGGCTCGGAGAGATTAAAGTGCCGGTGGAAACCAGAAGGCAGGAGGGAGGCCTGAGCTCCACATTATGTTTGCTTTCTCTCCTCCCTCCCACTGTGGAGCTGATCCGCACCCCTGTACCGGCCCTTCCATGCCTGGTTCCCTCTCCCCCCACCCCTCTTCCCCAGGAGAGAGAGAATAAGGGAACAGGGACTCCCTCCAGGGGGTCCCTGCTTCTCCCCAAGTCTCTGTCCCAACCCTTCACAAAGCATGCGTTTGCCTGTGTTTGAAGCCCGGGACTGCTGGGCCTAGCCCAGGGAGAAGGAAGAACATCCATTCTCATGTGGAATCCAGCTGGAATCCAGTTCTTACCGGGTGGGGATGGGGGTTGGGGTGGAGAGCCAGAGACTTGGCTGGGTGAGCCTGGAGAGATGGCAGCCCCCAGGGCGCCTGCTGATGTGGGGACAGGGGTCAGCCTTGAGGCCCAGCGCTACTTTTAGTCTCACGGATCCTCCCCCCCATCACCGATCACTGACATTTTCAAAAGTGGGAACCTGGGTCTGTGACCAGGTTTCAGAGCTCCTTTGCCTTGATCGGTGGAACTCAGCGTGGCTCGATGGAGGAGGGGAGAGGGGATGAATTCCATTCAGGCCAGCCGGATGGGTGATGTTGGGGTGAGAAACAGTAAGGAACCCTCTGTCTAACGAGCTTCAGAGAGGAACAGGGCTGGGATGTGTGTTAGTCCACGGGGAACAGCCTTCCTCATGGACCCCGTGGCCCCAAACAGAAGGACCGTGTGAGCTTCTGGCAAGAGCAAAAGCGAAGGTCATGAGTTCAGCTTCCTCAGATTTCTTTACTGTCAGGAGTCGCAGCGGTATTACTATCATCGTCATCACTCTGTTACTATAAGAGAATAAAAGTAGTAGCAAATATTTACTTAGGACTTATTAATATGCCAGGCACTGCACCACGTGCTTTCCTAGTTCTGCGTATATAATGCAGGCGTTTCCATCACCCCCATTAAACAGATGGGGAAACCGAGGCTCCCGTGGTAACTGCCCAAGGGCACAGCGTTGGGATCGAGCCTGGGTCTCACAGACTCTCACACCTGTCCTCCTACTCCCCACGCTTCCACCGAGTGCCCAGGACTCAGTCTAGCAGGGGCCTGTTTAGCCAAGAGGTGCCTGAGGCGGCCTGGCAGACCGGCTGTTCAACAAAAAGTCTCTGAAATCAAACTCCTGGTTACTCGGGATGCAGGTCTGGCTGGGGAGGAGGTCCACATTGGACAAGGAGCCCCGGCTTTCTGGAAAGGAAGAAACCAACTCACCCCCTCCCAGGGGCAGAGCAGGTGGGCCCCAGAGATCCAGGCTATGGGCCCCAGTTCGAGGGGGGGTCGGAAGGAATGGTTTCAACGCCGAGGGGCCCAGTGGCTGTGCCTCGGACAGTAATGGCAAAGCTGGGGAGAGTGGCCCATGTCACAGCTGAAGAGCCTCGCCCCTGGAAACCCCAAGATGGTGCAGGCCCCTCCCTCTTCAACAGTGACGTCATGGGCTACACCTGGCTGAGCAGCTCCAGGGCTTGGGACAGTGGCTGATGGGAGGTGGGGACAGGAAGGCTCAGGAGGAAGATCCGGGACTTGATACCAAAGCCAGTGGGGGCTGAGTGAAAGGAACAGTGATGTCACCGTGTTTACACTTGCAGCTGGTAGAGCAGGTCGGACCAGTAACAGTGAAAAGGGGATGGGGGACATTTTGATCCTTAACTCAGTCTTACTAGTTGCGCTCTTAAACTCGGGCAAACCTTGGTTAGGAAAGCTCTGGTTGGACTGAATTGCCAGACACCGTGACCTTTCACGAGGGTCCTGAGGAGCATCCCCGCCTCCTCCTCGCCCCCCCTCCCCCCTCCCGCCCCCAACAGGCCACGGTGGGGTGGGCCCCTCCTAACCAACCGTCAGGTGTGCACCAAGGAAAAGGGGGCTCCGGGTACGACAACATAAACATGACAATGAAGAAGCCCTCTTACTCAGTCAACCCTTCCCCCTCCCCCATCCCCCGCCTTAACCAGCCCACGCCTCACTTCTCCCCCTTCTCCCTTCCCACTCCTCTCCGGCACGCCCAGCCAGAGGACAGAGGCTGGCACTGAGGAAAGCTGCATGTGGACGTTCTCTTCCCAGCCGGTCCTCCTCCTCCTGGCTCAGCTGGCCCAGAGCGTGTGTCTTTTCTCACGGTAATGGGCCGGTGAGGCAGAAGGGCCCTTCTGAGCCAATCTCCCAATGAGACAGGACAACTTCCTGTCCCTGACAAGGGCGCCTGGGCCCGAAGCAAGACTCTGCAGGGATTCAAAAGCCCTTCTTTCAGCCCTGGCCAGGTGGCTCCGTGGGTTAGAGCATCTTCCTGAAACACCAGGGTTTGGGGTCCAAAGCCCGGATAGGACATGTATAAGAATGAACCAATGAATGCATAAATAAGTGGGACAATGAATTGATGTTTCTTTCTCTCTCTCTTTTTAAAAAGCCCCTCTTTGAACTGTGTGCTAATCGGTGTGGGTGTGTCTTCCCAAACTCTTGCTTGAGGCCAATGCTCTACCCTTTTCTTCCTTCCATACCAGTCCTACCCGGTCCCATCTGTGTAACTCTGGGATGCCAATTATTCCCCTTTCTGTCCTTCTATTTCCTCCCCTGCAAAGGGGGGTAATGATAACTGTATCTACAAGGAACAGGCACAGGGGCTCCTGCCCACGGTCCCTCCGACCTTCCCGCCGTGATGGCCAACCCTGCGCTCTCCGCCTGTCCACAGACCCTCTCTCTCGTGGCCTGAGCCAACCCGCGCGCATCATGTGCCAGAAACACCGGAGTTACCGTTCCCCGGGGAGAAGCATCCATCAGCTGCCTCTCAACTGATGAGTGATGGGTGTTGGCGTGTAAATACGCCCAAGAGAGGGGGAGCTGGAGGCAGGTGTTCCGTGTGCCCCTCCCCCTCTGCGGAGGACAGCCCTGCCGTGGGTTCTGCGCTGACTTCCAGGCAGCCCCAGCAGGACCGAGCCCCAGGTGCCCATGGGGTAACCTGCTGGCTCACAGGGCCCCCGGAGACTGCCTTCCTCCTGCCTCACATCCCCCTCCCCTCTCTGTGCTTCTGGGCCCATCCCCAGATGACCTGCTTGCACTCAGATCTTTGTTAAGGGGACCCACCCGGGGCAGTAGCATTGAACATGGGTGGCCCTCTCCTTCACTGGTGCCCTCCGTATGCCTCGGGCTCTACTTTTCAGCTCCCTCTTCCGGTCCTCGAACCCCTCGTGTCCCCAGGCTGGACAGAGGACTCACCTCTGACCTCCCAGAATGAGTGGGAGCCAGCGGCGGGCAATGGCCTTCACCAGCCCACGCCTGGCTTCTGTGGGCCCAAGGGGCAATTTTACAGATGAAGGCGTTTGCCCTGCCCACCTCATTCAGGGGTCCTTCCCCACCCCCCAACCCCCCGGCAATTCCATGAAGTAGAGGCCTTATGCATCTGGATGCTGACTGCAGGCGGTGGGACAGTTCAGACCCCACATCCATGCTCTGTCTACATTTCCTGCGGACCCCGGGCCAAGGCGATAGTAGTTTCTTATCTTTAAAAACGTCTACTTCAGCCTAAACCCGTTTGGCTCAGCGGTAGAGCGTCGGACTGCGGACTGAAAGGTCCCAGGTTCGATTCCGGTCAGGGGCATGTACGTTGGTTGCCGGCACATCCCCAGTAGGGGGTGTGCAAGAGGCAGCTGGTCGATGTTTCTCTCTTATCGACGTTTCTAGCTCTCTATCTCTCTCCCTTCCTCTCTGTAAAAAATCAATAAAAATATATTTTTAAAAGAATGTCTACTTCAAATATAGCCATTGAGCAGTCAGTAACAGTAGGAAGACGCAGAAAGACTAGTGAGGCCAAGTGTAAAGGCTCTTCCAATAGCCCTGGCCATCGGTCTGAGCATCATCGGTCAGGGCACATGCAATGGATGCACAAATTCAAATCACACAGATGAGCTTGGCCCTATGTCTCTCCAGCTAAGAAGGGTTTTTACATTTTTAATTGTTTTTTTTTAAGTATGTTTTTATTAATTTTAGAGAGAGAAGGGAGAGGGAGAGAAACATTAATGACAGAGAGACATAGATTAGCAGCCTCCTGCCTGTGCCCTGAGCAGGGATTGAACCGGGGACCTCTTGATTCACAGGTCAATGCTCAACCTCTGAGCCACACCGGCCAGGTGGTTTTTGACATTTTTAAAGAGTTAAGAAGACAAAACAAAAGAGGGTATGTGTAACAAGATTATAAATGGCCCTCAAACCCTAAAATATGTACTATTTATCCCTTCGCAGAAAGTTTGCCGACCTCTACCCACATGGCAGAAGGGATCAATGACTCTGTCTGCCTTTCATTTGACAGTCCCTTATAGGATCCCTTCCCATCATCCTTACAGCCAAGGCTGGGCAATATTCATGATTCCAGCCTGCCAGAAGTCATAGTTGGCCGTCTGGGATGCACTTATGTATCAAGGGCTGAGAGAGGTCTCTGGAACAGAGCATAAGGTCCTGAGAAATTTTGGGGGGGCGAGGGGGAGGGGAGAGTTAGAGGGATCATGGCACATTTGTAAGCCCAAACACAGTTCCAGGAGATCTTCTCAAGTCCTTGAGTTTTTGTTCACCCAGAGGAGGAGCCTGGCTCTCCTGCCCTCCAGATGTGTGCTCTGGGGAAACGGACAAGTTGGTAAGTCTTTGGCAGCCATTTGTTATTGGCCACAAAGTCTAGCTTTGATTCCAATCGTCAGGGGTCAAAGCAAAACCACACAGTCCTTGGGAAAGGTGTTCCCACAATCAAACTGGAGCCTCAAACATCACAAACCCAGCATGCTCGGACCTTCTCCCTGGGGTCTCACACCATCTTCCCAGGCTCCAGCTGGAGGCGGGGAGAATGCTTTTCTCCTCTCCTAACTCATGGCGTTAGAATAAGTGATGCCATAGCCCACTGCGTCCCTTCCCTGCCAACCCCTCCCCGCCTACCTTCAGTCCCGGGACGAGGACCTCCTTCTGGTGGATCTGGATGAGGGTGATGGCCACGAGGACCACGACGCTCACAATCAGGACCACCAAGGCGATGACCACTGGAGTGCGGGAGAGGGCCTTGAGGCCTGAAACGAGAGACGGAGAAGACTTACGCGGGGGAAGCAGGAACTAGACACTCGCCATCTCTGCAGAGCCCAGGAGCTGGGTGCACAGTCATGGGTACAAGTCACTTCTGGCTGTAGAGATGCCCACACGCTCAAGGTGGAGAAGCAATTGGGCTCTTGTACCCACTTGCCTTTCCTCCAAAGAGTGGACGTAAACCATGTTTGCATGGTTTGTTTTCTGGTATTTAGTTTTATGTAGCATCGTATTAGTTATATATATATATATATATATATATATATATATATATATATATATGTTAGTTTTTATTATACATATAAATAAAATTTATACACATATTATATTTTACATCATATATATATATATATATATGTTGTGTACAGTATTATATTAGTTTTCGGTATGCACAGTTTAGTTTTCTGGTATTTCTCAAAATATGTTCTGCATATCACTGGTTGTCCCTGAGAAGATTTACAATAACATTTGTTTCAGTGCAGATTAGAAAAACATGGGTTTTCCACTAAAGCAGGTAATATTTCATTTAAAATTAATCTCAGATAAATAAGAAGAAATTAATATGGTACTTCAGATATAATTAATGCTTCACTTATTGTAGAGCAACTGATATAACATGTCTAAATTCCTAAAGCATTTGGGTTCCCAGTAAGAACTCACACTCAGTGATGCTTGCTGTGTCTACAGTGAGGCATTAGGTCTCCCTACATCTTCACAAAGACAACTAGACCCCAATCCGCATGTCTCCTCCCAAAGGGATCATGTAATTGCTGGGATTTGTATTTTAATCATAACATGTAAACTCTACCCATTTAAAAGCAAAAAATAAATAACTCCACGAATACTCTTAAATATATAGACACTAAGAAAAGATCATTATATAACTGCATGTATTGTATAATATATAATGTATATACACATCTACATAATAAACGAGTACTATGCTAAATAAACTGAACAGCTGAACAACCTTCTGGACATCTTTCTGGACATCCTTCCAGATGAAGCCACTGTGGCAGGGGCTGAGGCAGAGACGGCTAGGGGTGATCAGTCAGTCAGGCAGGCAGGTGAATGGTTAGGGACAATCAGGCAGGCAGGCAAGTGGTTAGGGGCAATCAGGCAGGCAGGCAAGTGGTTAGGGGCAATCAGGCAGGCAGGCAAGTGGTTAGGAGCCAGCAGTCCTGAATTGCGAGGGATGTCCCAGATTGTGAAAGGGTTCAGGCTGGGCTGAGGGACCCCCCACCCCCATGCATGAATTTCCTGCATGGGGCCTCTACTTGTATAATACATAATGTATCATAATAAACTATGTCTATTAAATGTAAACTAATATTGCTTAACTGAATGATTACAAGCAGATTAGGTCTTAACCAACTAGTGTGGGCTCATGGAAGGTTATTTCTGCCCCATCTGATCTCCTTGCTGTGTTGACGCTGTCGCAGACATTTCCCAACGTCAGAGGTGGTGGATTCACAGCCTCATTCTTCTATAATACCTTGTCCCTGGGAGTGAGCACTAACACAGCACCAGTGGGGGGCAGAGTGCCAGTATTGACTGACAACAGCAAGAAGGTATGCCATCTGACTGGCAATCCCACCCTGGGAACTTATTCCACAGAAGGCGGGAGTCCCGTGTGTGTGTGTGTGTGTGTGTGTGTGTGTGTGTGTGTGTGTGTGTAAAGTGACACACAGTTACTCTCTGCTGGCTCCTTTGTCGCAGCAGCTGAAGGAGACCAGCCACCATGGAGGACTGTCAGGTCCTGGTCACTGTTCTGACGCTGGAGACCACCAGGAACCAGTTCATCCACAGAGGCAAGCTCTTGTATCAACTTTTTCAATATATATATATATATATATATATATATATATATATATATATATATATTATTGATTTCTTACAGAGAGGAAGGGAGATAAAGAGTTAGAAACATCAATGAGAGAGAAACATCGATCAGCTGCCTCCTGCACACCCCCCACTGGGGATGTGCCCGCAACCAAGGTACATGACCTTGACTGGAATCGAACCCTGGACCCTTCAGTCCGCAGGCCGGTGCTCTAACCACTGAGCCCAACCGGTTTCGGCTCTTGTTATCAACTTTAAAAAAACCACCTGTCAGTGTCAGTTTAAGGGACATCCCCCACCCCTAACAAGACATGGTGGAGCTTAATCTGCAGGTGAAACTTGTCCCGTGGGAGGAATGTAACAAGTCAGTCTGTAGGTGTGATGTTACCAGATCTGTGTTAAAATGTCAAAAGTGTGAAGGGGAAAACCTGGAGATCAAAGTAAATCAGTTCCTTAGATACAATTTCCCTTTTTTTTTTTTTTTAATGGTATAAATTTGCCCCCATTATCCTACCATCAAATCCTCTTGGAAGACAAGAATACCCAATGGTGGGGCACAACTAAACAACATCTGGCCGAAACCAGTTTGGCTCCGTGGATAGAGCGAGGGCCTGCGGACTGAGGGGTCTCGGGTTCGATTCCGGTAGGGGGCACGTACCTTGGTTGCGAGCACATCCCCAGTGGGAGGTGAGCAGGAGGCAGCTGATCGCTGTTTCTCTCTCATCGATGTTTCTAACTCTCTATCCCTCTCCCTTCCTCTCTGTAAAAAAGAAATCAATAAAATATATTTATAAAAAAAGAGCATCTGGCCACCGGCGGGAGGCGGGGTCATAGGTAAGCGGTCTCCTGACCACAGCCACACGCTGGCCTCCCCAGTCCTCCACGCCTCAGCAGATTTGGGGTAAAACGCTGTGATTACCTTAAGCAAACACTTGCCCCAGCAGAAAAAAAATCTCTCACGAAGCAAAATGGACTAGCGCAGGTCTCATTCATGTAGGGCACAGGGCCTAGGGCTGTGCTATATCATTAGGGCGGGACGGACACACGGACACACACACACACACACACACACACGCGGTAATTACCATGGGCCCACCTGGGAAAGGAGAGGCCAAAGGCTTCCTGGCTTTCACAGGAGCAACGGCAAAGAGTGCTCCAAAGGCAGGCAGGTGGGGCAAACTTGGAAGTGTGTGTGTGTGTGTGTGTGTGTGTGTGTGTGTGTGTGTGAATTCCACACATGTACCTGCAGGAGCATCCACAGGAACAATGCTGACCGTGGTGGGGACTGGAGGATGCTGTGCTTGAAGGAGGAAAGCTCCCAGCACTTTGAAGTTCATCGAAAAATCAACACGATCCTGATGCCAACCTCACACACCGCAGGGTAAGGGAAACCACAAGGGCCCAATGAGCGGATTATGCAAACCGGAAAGACCGTTTGATCGGAGCCTGCATGTTCGCCCTTGTTTTGCGTCGCTTGGATGAAAAGCATTACTTTCCCGGGAGGCATGCCCGTGGTGAGAGCCGGTGAGCAGCTCTGCGCATCCAGCTGGAGAGGATGATACCTCACAGCCACCGGCGGGGGGGACGGGGACCAGAACCCGGAGCGGATGCTGGGGTTCCCCTGCGATGGGGGGGGAGCCACGCCGGCGGCCGGGGAGACACTCACCCGCTTGCTCGCAGGGCTGGCGGGTCAGCACCGTGAACATCTTTCCTGCCGGCTGCGGGCGAGAGGACGCAGGCTGGTCACGTTTCCACGGCTCCTGGCTCAAGTTCAAAACCCTCGCACGCGGTTAACACACAGACCCACCCCCTCCCCGTCAAACCCCGCGGCGGGGGAGGGGGCCGGGGGGAAGGGGACTGGCGGTGAACCTAGAACTTCAGGGATAGACCCAAAGCTGCGGCTTACATTCCAGCGTCCCCTCCCCAGGCGCAAGGAAACGGGTTAAAAACGGGCTTGCTGGATGTTCACATTGAAGAAAACAACAACAAAATCAGAACTAAGTCTGCCTTTTCCTGCAGACTCTCCTCCACCTGCGCGCAGCTCCAGGCAGAACAAACCTCTCCAAAACACGCCACCAGCGAGGTTCCTGTGCGCGGGCGCGGCCCGCGAGCCCGGGGTCGTCCTTTCAAGACCCAGAGGGGTGTCGTTAGCCCCGGGCTGGGAACAGCTGCCAGGGGATGCGAGGCGCCCCCCACCCCAACCCCGGAGCCAGCGCCCCAGGATCCGGGAGGCCCCGGTCCCCCGCAGTCCCGGGCCTCGGAGCGCCCAGCGCATCTCCGGCCGCGCACAGGCGCTCGGCTCGGGGGGAAGGCGAGCCCCCAGCCCGGCTGGGCAGGGACTCCTCCCCCGCCCCCCCCCCCCCCCCCCCCGTCCTCCAGCCGCCCGCCGAGGAGTTGGGGTTCGCCTCCCTCCGTTCCCGCCCCGGCCCTCTGCGCAGTCCCTCCCGGTGACGCTCCCTTCCCCCCGGCTCTCACCCGGACGCGGCTCCCGCTCCTCCCTCCGGGCCGGACGGGCTCCCGGGGCACCTGTGCGGGCGGCGGGGAGGGACCGGCTGCCGCAGTGGCTGCCGGCGAGCGGGCTGCGGAGGCGCCGGGGCCGGGCGGGGCGGGGCGGGAGGCCGGGACCGCCCCCTGGGCCGGGGCCGGGCTGAGCGCCTCCTCACCTGGTCTGGCAGCTCTCACTCCATCAGCAGGACCAAGGCAGAAAGCACCGGGGCTGTCCAAACCGCTTGGGCTCAGGGGATAGAGCGTCAGCCTGCGGACTGAAGGGTCCCAGGTTCGATTCCGGGCAAGGGCATGCGGGCACATCCCCAGTAGGAGGTGTGCAGGGGGCTGCTGATTGATGTTTCTCTCTCATCGATGTTTCTAACTCTCTTCCTCTCTGTAAGAAATCAATAAAATATATTAAAAAGAAAGGAGTGGGGTTTGTGAGGCCGTGGGGGTGGGAGAGGGGGTGCAGGGTGGAGGGTTGGGAGTGGGGAGCACCCCGATCCCCCCCCCCCCGGGGCCTACACTGGGAAATGGAGGAGGTGCGTGCCTCCCCCCTCCCTCCACCAAGAACCTCTTTATTTCTCTTCTCCACCTTCACCCCAAGCGGCACCTGTGAGGCTGGGCGGGCGGCGAGGAGGCAGACAGGTGCCTGGTCACCTGGGCCAAAGGCATCAGTTAATGCAGAGACCTGTCTCTCAAGTACAGGGGTGCGCAAAAGCACTTTACATTACCAGCCATCGTTAATAAAGAATAAATCACAAATAAGGATATGGAATAGTAATGACAAATAATACAAATAATGTATAAATAAGACAAGAATAAACTGCTTCACGTACCCGCAAGTGTAAACCTCCTTTTGCCCACCCCACCTTAGCAGATCTACCCAGGCCAAGCCCAAGGACCTTCTCACTGGTCCCTGAGCAATGCTCTCCCTGCCCCCATTTTATAGGGGAGCCGTTAGACCAAACGTGAACATGGGCTTTGCCTGGAAGAGGCCAAATAGGGAACAGGACAGAAGTGCGGATGGGGGCTGCAGACTCCAGTGCCCCCAGAGCTGGGGGTTCATGCAGCGGCAGGCCGCCTCCTGACCCCCGAGGGACCCCTGGGATCCTTGCGATGATCCCAGCCAGAGGCCCATCCTGCTAGTGTTGGACCACCTCTCCTGAGGCTCCTGGTTGTCTGGAGGAAAGAGCCGAGGCCTCTGCTCTGTCCTGGGCTGCCTGTCCTCGGCTAGAGCCAGGCCTGGGAGCTGAGCTCAGAGGGTTATGTGTGTGTGTGTGTGTGTGTGTGTGTGTGTGTGCATGTGTGTGTGTGTGTTTTCAAAATGTTTTAAAAATCAAATCTGTGATGTAATATAGATGTGCATCTTTATTAAGCCATTAAGTAATGAGATCCAGCAGCAGACTTCATGCTCTGGTGAGTGCAGGGATATTTTAAAACATTTACCATAACTGTAAGGTGATAGGAAATATCTGTGATTACTATTGAACGATGACACAGAGGGGCCGGAGAACCAGGACCCAGGCTTTACTAGAGGAGAAGACCCCTGCTGGCTGCCTTCCACAGGGAGAAAGAGCACGTGTGTGGGGCTGAACACGCCTTTTGAGGGGAGGAAAGGAGGGGATGGGGCTTAGGGTACTCGGCACACGCTGATGGGTGGTTTCATGTAAGGCACATGCTTAGGGAGTTAGGCATCGGGGGCTTAGGGTATTTGGCAGGTACTGATTGGTGGTTCGATCTACACTCCATATAAGGTGCCTGGTTAGGCGCTCAGGAATGTCCAGGTGCAGTTTGCGTCATACTCCGTCCATCAGTTGGGGGAAGGGAGGATCTATCAACTATCTGTGACAGTCACAGCTCCTGCCAATACCACTGAGCTCTGTGGACGCCATTGATAAGGGAAATATTCCATTTCCTGAAAATGAAGTATATTTTCTCCAGGCAAGGACACAGCCCCCTGAAGTGTGTGTGTGTGTGTGTGTGTGTGTGTGTGCAAGGACGCGCTAGACTGATTTTCATAGCAGAGGTGTGGCGTTCCTGCTCAAAGTCTTGTGACGACTCAATGAGCTGCCTCCTGAAACAGGTCCCAATTTAGCCTCGCGTCAAAGACCCACTTTAACAATGAATATCTTCTGCCTTAAAAATGGATAGAACTGGCATTTTATTTTCTATCCCTTTGCGACTTGCCTTTTTCATTCAAAAGGGTTTCCCCCCCTAGATTTGTTGTTAACATGTAGTTATCTATAGATTCAGAAAAATAAAATAAAATAAAATAAAATAAAATAAAATAATAAAATAAGCTGCACCATATTCTACTGTGTAAATAAGCCAAGTGCACTTGGCCTTTTCGGTATTTGTGGCTATTTGGATTGTTCTCACTTTTTGGTAAACAATGATTGAATTCATTCTTGTTATTTGTAAAAAAAACAAAACAAAAAAAAACTACGTATTTTTTAAATTCTACGTTTACATTTTAATGCATTCATGATTGAGAGCTACAACCCATGAAAATGAAAGCTCTCTGGGATCCTCAGAACTTCAGTGCCAGGCCAGTTCTACCTGAGTCACAGCCGGGCACATGCTAAGCCCTTTCTTAGAATTGCGCCCTGCCTATGCCAGGGGCCTGGCAGCCCCGGGCAGGCCCAGCCCAATCCTTTTAGGGGGGGGGGAGATTTATAAGCAAGTGCCTCACATGTTCCTTGAGCACCAATTTCTATTGTAATCTTTCTCCATCTTTTATCACCTGATTTGGGGAAATGAAATTCTGCACCCTTAGCTGGGATAGGCCTAATTTCCTTTTCCACTGGCTGGCGTCAATTGATCTTTTTCTTCCCTGCCTGATTGGTTTCTGCATTCTTTTTATAGTTTTCTTGTCTGTCAGTCACAATTCTGTTGTCATTTTATTAACTGTCCTCTCTCCACAGTCCTCTCTCCTTTGTTGGCAATTACAGCTAATTTTGTTCTTACTTTTATTTCCTTCTTCCATTTTTTAAATGCTCGCTGGTCTTTTTCTAACTTCTCGAGCAAAATGATTAGCTTATGACCTCATTTAACCTTAACTGCCTCCCCACAAGCCCTATCTCAACATACAGCCACATTGAGGGGTGGAGCTTCAGTTTGGGGAGATATAACCTCTACACGTGTATCTTCTTCTCTGGGTGCTTCCGTCTCTCTCTGTCTCTGCCTCTCTTCTGTGGACACTTTAAAAAACAACTCTGCAGCACTAGCTGGTTTGGCTCAGTGGATAGAGCATCGGCCTGTGGACCTAAAGGTCCCAGGTTCGATTCCAATCAAGGGCATGTACTTTGGTTGCGGGCACATACCCAGTAGGGAGTGTGCAGGAGGCAGCTGATGGATGTTTCTGTCTCATCGATGTTTCTAACTCCTATCTTTCTTCCTTCCTCTCTGTAAAAAAAATCAATAAAATATATATTTTAAAAAAACAACAACAACAAAAAGCTCTGCAGCCCTAGCCGGTTTGGCTCAGGGGATAAAGCGTAGGCCTGAGGGCTGAGGGGTCCCGGGTTTGATTCCGGCCAACCTCACATGCCCAGGTTGTGGGCTCAATCCCCAGTAGGGAGCATGCAGGAGGCAGCCAATCAATGATTCTCTCTCATCATTGATTTTTCTATCTCTCTCTCTCCCTCTCCCTTTCTCTCTGAAATCAATAAAAATATATTAAAAAAATAACTCTGCCTGCACTCAGGTTTATTTACTAATATGTTATTTAATAAAATGATAATGAAGTGTCTTTTCATCTAAAAAAAATTATGCCTCACATCCCAGTGGTCTCTCACACCCCAGTGGTTTTGATTGAAGTCAGTATTGCTATTACTTTATAGCTTTATGTTTATGTTTTGTACTTCTTCGGAAGTTATCAATATTTTTAGTAAACTTCTTACTTTAGAAGTTTTAGGTTTACAGGAAAGTTGCCAAATATCACAGAGTTTCTGCAAATCTCATACCTAATTTTCCCTTGCAATGTTACTCTTCTTTCCTTCTCCATTCTGTACTTTTAAGAAGGAAGTCCCTCTTAGCACAATACACTTAAGGGGTGGGGAGTGATGTTCCACCTCTGTGAGGGCAGAAAAGCTACACAAATTATTTAGAAATTTTCTGTACATGAGATTTAGTGATTCCTTTTTATATTCAATTATTACGTTCACCAATTTCATTGCTTCTTTACTTTTTTTAAAATTCTTTTATTTTTATTTTT